TCGCTGCCTCATCTAGCCCTTGGCACTTCTCTCGGAGAGAGTTTACAAGGGACTGCCTCTTTAGTGGGGGTGGACTCAAACATGCCTGTTTTACAAATGCCTCCGGGTAGAAGGGGCTGATTATATACTCAGAGCGTTGGTTTTCCCTTAGCCGTAGCAGTGTAGCGCAGTGTAGCGCCAGGGTGACATTTCAAATTGGAGTTATGGGTTGCATATTTCTGCATGCTAATTAGGAAGGGGGATGTCAGCATTCAATAATGTTATTGTTTTGCTTCCTAGAAGGTCTGTAGAAAAGCAGCTGCCAACGGGATACTTTTGGGGGACCCAAAGATAAAGCAGGGGTGAAGAGAGTTCTTGTTTGTCATTGAGGAAAATGAGACCATCTGGAGTCCTGGTCTTTGGCAGGCCCTGGGAGCCGTCTGTTGCGATAAGCTCTGTTGGCAAACTCTGCCGTGGAATGTTCCCTGTTGATAATGAAAGTAACCAAATGAAATCTGTGCTGTCATTGGCTGTTCCTGTGCATATAAAGACAGGGAGGCTGAAGCCAGAGAAGTTTCACTGAATTCTCCTGCCCGGAGATGCCCCGGGATTTCTGGACATAGACACTGGAGGCAGACACAGCTCTTTTTTTTTCCTTTAATTTTTTTTTTTTTTTTTTTAGTTGTCAGTGAACTTTATTTATTTATATCTGGTGCTGAGAATCGAACCCAGTGCCTCCCACGGACTAGGCAAGTGCTCTACCACTGAGCCACCACGCCAGCCCCCATCTCTGTGTTAATGTCAGGCATCATTTATAAATTGTGTGAATCTCAGATTCTTCTTCTGAAAATAGGAATATTGATGTCTTTTTCTCTAAGATGGTTATAAATGTTAACTCATGTTCTCCTGCCTGGTCTCCTATTTAAAGACACTGGCAAAGATAGACACATAATTACAGGCCTTGGGTTTATTATCCTTGTGTGTGTGCAGGTTGTATTTCCCTAGGGTGGGGCAGGTAGGGAAAGAAAGTGTAAAGAGAAGGTGAGAGAATTTTATGAATGATATCATCGCATGTTGAGCAAGCAGGTAGTAAATCAACAGGACGCAGATGGCAGTCATTCAGATGTAATTGACAGACTGGAAAAAACTGTTCTGAGTAATGTTGTTAAGAACTGGATCCACAGTAGAGGTATTTACAAAGACCCCAGGCTAGAATCCATGCACGATCTCTAATTGTTCTGTAAAGAATTGCTGAGTGACCTTGTGTGCCTGGTACTGTGTTGGAGGGGCACACAACCAGGTGTGGCCCCTGCCTTGGTGGATTGGGTCATCTAGGGGTGAAGACAGATACTGATTAACTACTCTGATAAATACAGCAAAGGGCATTGAGAAGAAGAAGCGTTCGTGTTTCCCTGTTAACATGTGAGAACTAATAAGGACAGCTTTGGTCTAGACTATGGGGTCTGAGATGCTGTCCCTGAGGATGAGCAGATGGGGATGGGGTGGATACAGGGAGATGGGTATAGGGAGAGGTGGGGGCAGGAACTGTGAGATGAAGAGGGGGCCCCGTGTGCATGTGAAGGCTGAAAGAAGCCCAGTGGGGCTGTGTGCAGTGTGCACACCTGTATTCCCAGCAGCTTGGGAGGCTGAGGAGGATCATGAGTTCAAAGCCAGCCTCAGTAACTTAGGGAGGCCCTAAGCAACTCAGTGAAACCTTATTTATTTCAAAATAAAATATGAAAAGGTCTGGGGATGTAACTCAGTGGTTAAATGATGTTGGGTTCAACCCCCGGCACACACCCGCCATCCCCTGCAGAAAAGTATTTTGTTTGGCTTGGTCAAGGCCAAAAATTGGGTCCTGTTAATGAAGGCCAGCAGTGCCTGCCTCCCAACCTGCTGGGATTACCGGTGTGTGCCACTGTACCCAGCTACAGAAGGGAAATTTTATATAGTTCCTCTTAATAATAAGTATTTCTGTACCCAATCTTAATTTCTAGAAATAGGGAAGAGCTTTGAACAAGTGTGTTTTGTGTGTGTGTGTGTGTGTGTGTGTGTGGTCGCATTGAGGAAAAGGCCAATCATTTGTTGACTTAAGAAAGCCTTTGAACTTGAAAACTGAGGGCAGGTGCCCACTGGAAATCCACACATATTTGTCAAATTTAGGTAGAACTTTATTTTCCAGGCATTTATTTCTGTCGTGCACTGCAGATGTCAAAGACTTAATTGATTTTTTTAAATGATTATAATTTTATGAATGTGACTTCAATTTAATGTCACTGAAACTGAGTGATAGGGTTATAAAATGGTAATTATAAAATTATGAGTAAAGAGTCCCATGCTTTGGTTACATTTTCCACTAGGTTCTTATTTTTAGACATTAGCCTTTGTTTAACATCTCACTCTAAAAATGATGTGGTGTTTTGATATATCAGTGATGGGAGGGATTGAGAATTAAATTCAGTAAGGCTTTATCTTTATCTCTCTCTCTCTTTTTTTTTTTTTAACTCACTGTGGAGGTTGATTTCTCAATAGTAAATGGTGTTGCTTTCCTAAATGCCAATACAATAGTCTTCAGGGAATGAAAAGGTTGTATCCCTTCAACTGTAAGGTGAAGTGGATTTCTTAGTTCATATGTGCATCAATTTTTTCTTGTCTGAGGGTTGGCCCCTCAAAACATATAAGGGGTGCCTTTATTCAAGCTTTCTTCTTACTTCCTGTTCCTGCAAGTTGGAGATCTTAAAGAAGTTTTTTTGAAGAAATTGATAGATCACTTTCTATTAAAAAAAAGAAAAGTCCTAGAGATTGACCCGAATGTGCATGCCAGATGCCTACCTGGGATCCTTCAGACTTACACATGGCCGCCTTTCAGTCTACTAGGTTTTAAAAATGTGTATGTTCAACCGGACGCGGTGGCACACGCCTGTAATCCCAGCAGCTCGGGAGGCTGAGGCAGGAGTGTCTCGAGTTCAAAGCCAGCCTCAGCAACTTAGTGAGGTCCTAAGCAACTCAGTGAGACCCTGTCTCTAAATAAAATATAAAATAGGGCTACTTTTTTTTTTTGTACCAATTCCTGGTACAAAAAACAAAAGTATATATTCAGAATTTCCTTGCTGACATGGACTGTTAAACCACTCTCAAACAAAGTCAATGTGTATATATTCATCAATTTGATAATTCAAAAATATCTTAAAGAGATATTATTAAACCCCTTCTGGAAAAAGCAGTCTTATGAGGATAGTGCTGGATAGAAACAAATGTTCATCTCTAGGTCTCATGGAGACCAACTTTTGTCTTTTGTTCTTTTTTCTATTTCTTTCTTTTTTTTTTTTCTTTGCCTTTTTAAGTGCTTACAAAATGTCTATGTATTGAGGTGCTTGGTTTAGCTAATGGCATTGGGACACTGGGAACAAATACCGTACACAGGCTTTATTAGTATCTGTAATGTTTCTATGTTACTAAACATCAAATTACAAATGTTGGTCAGGATTTATTGAAGGATTCAGTATTATTGTCTATCTTCCTGGCCTGATTTTGAAAGATTTAAAAGTTGAATGGATCAGTGGAATTCTAATGTTGTTGTCTTTTATCATGTAGTTGCTAAATATCATCGATTATAAACTCAGCTTTTCAAATTTTGATTGTTCATGAACCTTCATGATTTTGTTCATATTGGAACAGTCTGTTATTTAATTAATGTTTTCTTTAAGAAAACTTTAACAAACACAATTTGCTTTTTGAGTTCTTTTTTGAGATTTATATAGTGAGATTTAATTTTTTCATATTTTTTATTGCTGCATTATAGTTATAATAATAGTGATGGGATTCATTGTTACATATTTAATGGACGTGTAGATGATGTAGTATTACTTTGAAATGGGAATTTTCTTTTTTTGTGTGTGTTTTGGTTTTGGTTTTGGTACTGGGGATTAAACCAGGGACACTCAACCACAGAGCCACATCCCCAGCCCTTTTTAATATTTTATTTAGAGACAGGGTCTCGCTGAGTTGCTTAGGACCTCACTAAGTTGCAGCGACTGGCTTTGAAATGGCGATCCTCCTGCCTCAGCCTCCTGAACCTCTGGAATTAAATAGGAGTTTTCAAAAAGAAACTCTTATGACTTCTACCATCACTATTATTTATTCCATTGTTTAATTTTTTTGTTGTATAAAACTGTTGTTTAAAGCTTTTTGTTAAAGATCAGTCAGCCTTTTTAAAATATTGCTGTTTTTCTTCAATTTTAAAGGCGAACTTGATTTTGCTAATCTAACTTACTCGTTAGATATTTCTATTGGAAATTAAAAATGTTAGTTCATTAAAATTTAAAAAAAAAAAAGCAAAAATCCAATTCATGTACCAGTCAGGGTGCCATAAACCAAACTTGTTGGGTAAAGGGAAGATGGGCTGTTTCTAGAGGCGTGATTGACACTTTTCTGTTAAAAGGTGGCGAGGGTTTGTTCCCACCCTGCAGGCCCCCCAAGGGTCAGGCCTGCCATTCACTTGAAGAGGCGCCACGTGGTACTCAACTGCCCTTCTTTTCAAACAGTGCCCTGGTTCCCTCTTGAAGAGGGGAGGTGACCTCAACTTTTCAGGTCTGTAAGGGTGCTGGCAGTAATGAATTTTGATTTTCTGTGAGGCTCACTCTAAATCGGATTCAAGCATTATGCTGGTGCCCATATAGCAAAAGACGACCAATTGAAATTCAAATGTAATGAAGATGGAAGTTTTTTTTTGTTTTTTGTTTTTTTTTTTTCTATTCAGCCCCTCCTCCTTTGTTTTTAGCTTTCATTGATTCTTTCTTTGCACCTAAACAGTGTGGCTTCTCCTCTCTTGCTCCTGCAATCACCCTAACCTAGTTGGATAAGGAAGGCGGTCTTTGCTAACCCATCCCAGAAGTGAAATGTTTCTCGTTTTCCGGTTTTTATTTTATTTCATGCGCTGAGAGATCGGGATGTGAAGTCTTGCAAAAAAAAAAAAAAAGTATTCTTTTTGAAACATGCAAATGTGTCTCTCTATCACCTAGGAAACTATTATGGGACACCCAAACCTCCCAGCCAGCCAGTCAGTGGGAAAGTGATCACAACGGATGCCTTGCAAAGCCTTCAGTCTGGCTCCAAGCAGTCGACCCCGAAGCGCACCAAGTCCTACAATGACATGCAAAATGCTGGCATAGTCCCCGCGGAGACCGAGGAGGAGGATGATGTTCCTGAAATGAACAGTAGCTTTACAGGTAAAGGCCACACGGGGTCCCTTCGCAACTGTTGTGGCCAAGGCGAGTGGAGGTGGGAAGGCTCTCCCCAGGAAGGAGGACCAGGATGCTCTTCGCAAGAGCATTTCAGCAGCTTGCCCAGATTCCAATCCCAGCCATGCAGTGCGTGGGGAGGAGGCTGACCATCCCTCCGTCCACTTACCACGGTTCCCAGGAATATCTGAACGTCACCCAACTATCTGAAACGAGCCAGGGATAAAGGTGTGGACACAGCAATTGAGAAATATCAGCCTGGTCTTTCTCTCTTCAGGAGGATATATTTAGGCTGGGCACCTTGGCTCACGCCTGTGATCCCAGTGGCTCAGGAGGCTGAGGCAGGAGGATCACAAGTTCAAAGCCAGCCTCAGCAAAAAACGAGGCCCTAAGCAACTCAGTGAGACCCTGTCTGTAAATAAAATACAAAATAGGGCTGGGGATGGGGCTCAGTGGTCGAGTGTCCCTGAGTCAATCCCCAATGTGTGCCCCCTCCACCTCCAAAAGAAGATATATTTATTTATTTTTTACACTTTGTTCATTGATGTTTAATTTGGCCTTGAAACATCTTTGTCATCATGAAGCGAAATATGAGAATTCGGTTGACATTAAGCTGACATTAAACTGACAGCATCCGCTTCTCTCACACTATTTTAAGTAGAGGTGTTGGAAGTATGTCTTGTGCTCAGCTAACTTATGCAGACTTTACTGCGGACCTTAAAGGGGGCAAGAAAAATACGCAAAATAAATATTCTAGGGTTCTCCTCTGTGTATGCATTCTGTATCATGTAGCAGATGTGACTGAATCCATTGTATATTTACACCTGTACTCAGAGCTGTGTGCCTAAAGCTTAGCCGTGCTGTGTGTTATGGGGGGGTTGTCTAGGACAGAGCCTCAGCTTGGGCTGTGCAGTTGAGGTATCGCACATCTCAGGTGGTACCATTTGTATGCTGGGGTATGTGGTCTTGGGTTAGAGCAGTGATCTATAGCTACTCAATCTCATTTTTCATTATGTGAGAGTTTGACCTCATGTAATAACTCAAAATGTAACAACTGCCTAAACACCTGAGTAATTTCAGCCTATAACGTGACTTAGAGAAAACCACTTCATTTTTTTCTATTTTTTCCTATATTTAAATTCTCTCTTTAATATGTTAGAACTGTAGCTATGGACAAGTTTTCCGTGGTCGGCATCCACGGTTTCCTCCGTCAGTGGCCTTTCTCTTATCACCATACTTGGTCACTGCTTGGGTAGACTCAGCCCCAGTGCTTGGATAGACCAGTCGACCCTTGTGTTTCCCCCGTGTCACCAAGTCTGATAGAATGTTCAGGAAAAGTATTTTGTTGTTGAATACTACTACAGCTGGCATGGATCTCTCTGAGATTTTGCCATTTATTAACCGAGCTCAAAAGTCTAAATTGGTTAAGATGCCCATAAATTTTTTTTTTCAATATTTTTTTAGTTATAGATGGACACGATACCTTCATTTATTTATTTTTATGTGGTGCTGAGGATCAAACCCATTGTCCCATATGTGCTGGGCAAGCGCTCCACTACTGAACCCCATAAAATGTTTTTGGTGACTTTGCTATGGCAGTAGGATAACTTACCCCTTTTGTGAGAAGTATTGGATCAACTGAAGTACTGATGTCATGGCTTGTCTCTTGATAGTTGACTATTTATGAACAAAATGCCTTAAATCATTTATCTGTGATGGGACTAGGGGAATTGTATCATTTCCAAGTTTTTCCTACTAGCTCTAAGAATTTACTTCTGTGAAAAATTTCTTTTTTTTTTTTTCCATTTAAAATGTGATAGACCAGTGGCTGACCTACAATTGCAATGTCTAGAAGAAAAATTTTTTTTTTTTTTTACCAGGGATTGAACTCACTGAGCCACATCCCCAGTCCTTTTTTTTTTTCTTCTATAATTTTAAATTTTATTTATTTTTATGTGGTGCTGAGGATCAAACCCAGTGCCTCACATGTGCAAGGCAAGCACTCTACCACTGAGCCACCACCCCAGCACCCCCAGCCCTTTTTTTATATTTTATTAGAGTCAGGGTGTCACTGAGTTGCTTACGGCCTAAGTTGCTGAGGGTGGCCTTGAACTGGCGATCCTCCTGCCTCAGCCTCCTGAGTTGCTGGGATTACAGGTGTGTACCCCACTCCCGGAAAAATTCACCATCTTTTCTGTACGCCTTTATTAAAATCATCTGATTTCATCCTTTGGGAATATTTCATCCATATATAGTAGCCACCAACAAAATGAAAAGAGGTTATATTACATTGCTTTTAAAAACGTATAATACTTTAATGTCTTGATAGTTCAGTAAATAAGAATTGCAAGTCATGATATAACCCAAAACATAGTTGTAGTCACAGCAGTAGAAGACCTTACGAATAGGGGACAGTGAAACAGCTCTGCCAAACAGGCCTGTGGTGTCCTTTAGGGCATAAGGCCACCCTTATACACTTTTATTTGTCCTCCATTTATGTACTAAGGTGATTTCTTGGTAGAAAGCAAGGACAAAGTTGAGGTCGTTGACCATAAATCTTGAGATGTCCCATCTCTAACCACTGCACATTTCTGTCTGTAGAAGCCACACCTTAGACCATCTGATCTCATAAAATCCTCACTTGAAATCCTGTCATGTAAAAAAGGAAATGTAGAGCCAGGCCAGTGGCCCATGCCTGTAATCCCAGTGGCCTGGGAGGCTGAGGCAGGAGGATCTCAAGTACAAAACCAGCCTCAGCAACTTAGCGAGGCCCTAAGCAACTCAAGGAGACCCTGTCTCTAAATAAAAGACAAAAAAAGAAAAGAAATGGCTGGGCATGTGGATCCGTAGTTAAACACCCCTGAATTTAATCCCTGGTACCAAAATAAAAAAAGAAAATGTGGGCCTCGGTCATGATTGCTAAAGTCAGTCTGATCCTTCATTTCTGCACAAAACAGAAAGCCAGGTGACACTCCACGGTGCTCTTCAGGTGCCTGTCTTGGCACTAAGAAGGCCAATAGGATGATTTAGACAGACAGGGCCTAGACTGCAGTGTGGCCCCGTGGTAGGGGGTAGGCCTTGCAGGGATGGCAGAAGCCTTGGCTTCTGTCCCTAGCAGCCCATCCCCCACCTGACCCCTCACCGACCACCCCACCCCCCAAAAAAAGAAATGGAAAGAGGAGTAGTTTTGAGCTATACCTGTGACGGTGCATCTCAATAGTAGGGAGCGTGTTAAATGAACGTCCCTCACAAAATAAAAGTGACACCAGCTGACATTGTATCATACCATAAACTCATACTAATTCTTTTCTTTTCTTATTTTTTTTTTTTAGTTGTAGTTGGCACGATTACTTTTATTTATTTTTATGTGGTGCTGAGGACTGAACCCAGTGCCTCCCCCATGTTAGGCAAGTCCCCTACCACTGAGCCCCAGCCCCAGCCCCTCATACTGATTCCTTTGAAGAATTCATACCCCCCAGTTACATATCATACATGTGTGTGAAAGTAGCTGGGTCGAAGCATTTTGCATTCTGAACAATTCTAAATAGCAATCTACCAGCCATTTTGTACACAGGGTGACATTAGCATAATGGGGTGTTGGCTCTGGTTGGGCCAGCGATGATAAAGGTATGAGAATCATATCTAAGAGTAGAAATACTGTGGACCTGTTCAAAATGATACCTATCAGGATATTTTAAACAACATGCTGCTGTTTCCTGCTGGGCGCGGTGGTACATGCCTGTAGTCCCATTGACTCCAGAGGCTGAGGCAGGAGGATCAACAGTTCAAAGCCAGCCTTAGCAACTTAGCGAGGCCCTCAGCAACTCAGTGAGACCCCGTTTCTAAATAAAATATAAAAAAGGGCTGGGGATGGGGCTCAGTGGTTCAGTGCCCCTGGGTTCAATCCTCCGTACTAAAATAAATAAATAAATATGTATAAGAGCTAATGTTGGGCTGGGGTTGTGGCTCAGTGGTAGAGTGTTCGCCTAGCATGTATGAGGCCCTGGGTTCAATCCTCAGCACCATATAAAGATAAGTAAATAAACGAATTGTGTCCATCTATCATTAAAAAATATTAAAAAAAAAAAAAAAAAAAGCTAATGTTTCTCTGGTACAATGTGGCAGACATTTTCCAAAGCTCTTTATGTGCACGCCAGGGAAGTCAAGTAGTTTCCCCAGTGTTCTAATGTTATAATGAGGGAGTGTCAGAGGGTCCTCCTCCAGAACCTGTGTGCACATCCAGTGTGCTTTTTTGTGTTTTAAATTAACCTTATCAGACCCTAAAGATTTTGACTGATTTTTGCGCAGTGGAAGAGGCACATAGATCTAAAACTATCTACAAGTTTAAGATAAGCCTCAGGAGTGTTCTTAAAGTCACTTCCAACAGTCTGAGGCCAGGCAGGGAGACAGAAAGAAGAAAATGCTTAGAAACTCCTGATTTACTATTGATAACAATGGCATTTGTAGTTCACCTCATGGTTTACATACCATTTTCACGTGTATCTGGTGAACCCTCCTGGTTATCTTGAGAGAGAAGCCACTCAAGTACCTCCTCTGCAGCTCGCGGGTGAGGACATTGAGTGAGAGTGCGTGTCACACCACCACAGGACGTGAGCCCAGGCTTTCTGGGTCCCATCTAGACTCCTCCCACCGTCCATTCTGCCTGACTCCTTGCATTCATTCATTGGCAACCTTGGGTTAGATGATGGTAGTAGTGCTCCCAAATATTTCATGAATCAAAGATTTTTTTGCGGGGGGACGGGTACCACAGATCGAACTCAGGGGCACTTGACCACCGAGCTGCATCCACACCCTATTTTGTATTTTATTTAGAGATAGGGTTTCACTGAGTTGCTTAATGCCTTGCCTTTTGCTGAGGCTGGCTTTGAACTTGCGATCCTCCTGCCTCAGCCTCCAGAGCTGCTGGGATGACAGGCATGCGCCACCGCACCTGGCTAAGATTTTTTTAATCAAAGCATGTATCAAAGTCAAAGCCATTACCTAGGCTATGGATTTTTTTTATTAGTTGTAGATGGACACCATATCTTTATCTTATTCATTTATTTTTATGTGGTGCTGAGGATCCATCCCAGGGCCTCTGCCACTGAGCCACAACCCGGCCCCAAGGTTATGGATTCTTGAGTCTGTCCTGTGTGTACTCGAACCTTATTTTTGTGCTTTCCGTTTTCCATCAGAGAATGAGATTTTTTGTTCTCTTTTTTCCCCCACATTTTTTACAAGTGCATTATAGTTGCACACAATGATGGGATTTGTTGTCACATACTCTACATGCACACAGCATAACAGTATAATTTGACCAATGTCACTCCCCAGCACTCTCCCCCCTACATCCGCCCCCTACCTTTGAGTTTCTGAGTTTGGCTTATTTCACTGAGCATGATATTCTCCCTTTCCATCCATTTATCAGCAAAAGCCATAATTTTGGCCATGGCTTCCAGAACATGACAACTTCAAGCCCCAGCCAAAGTTAGAACTTTGCACACAAGTAACATTCCATTACATTCTTTGGAGACTTCTTTGTATCCCTCTCCTCAGACTATACTGCTTCTGTCTCCTGAATCTCCATCACCAGGATGCTTTACAAGAGCCGATTTTGGAAACAAATCCCAAACCTCTTCTCTGGAGTAGGGAGGCGGAAATACGCACTTTCATAGGCTCTCCAGGGGATTCTTGTGTACTCTTCAGGGTGAAAAGTGTGCCCTGGAGAAGGTACATCAGAAATGAGTGAGTGTAGGTTGGCTTCTACAGAATTACAGGTGGGTCTTTTCATCATTGCTAGGCTTTGGATTTATTTTGTTGTTGATGAGTAGTCTCAAAAGGTTTCTTCTGTTTTGGCCTAATTTCCTTCTTGTTCATTCAAATTATAGTTGTCCTATTAAATCTGCACTCTTTTCATGCAAGTTGTAAAACCCATTCATACTGGTGCAGGCAGGAAGGTGTGACTCGGTGGGGGAACCAGGCGGTTGAAGAGGACAGGGGTAACCTTGACTCCAGACGTGGATCAAAGGCTCAATCCTGGATCTTAGAGAGCATTCTCCCTTTCATCTCTGCTTTCCTCCGAGTGGGTTTCACTCTTCAGTAGGTACTGCCTACAATGGGAATGTGGCCACCAGCTTCAGAACCTGTCAGTTAAATAAGCCCAGCATCCAGAGGCTGACGGTTCTGGCAGAACTTCCCTATGTCCCCTTCATTGGTCCACCCTGGATCCAGCATGTGTTCCTGAACTTGACCATCAAAGGCCAAAACAAAGGGTTGGGGTGGTGGCTCAGTGGTAGAGCATTTGCCTAGCACAGGTGAGGCACTGGGTTCAATCCTCAGCACCACACACAAAAAAATAAACAAAATAGAGGTATTGTTTCCATTCTACCAAAAAAAAAAAAAATGATACAGTACTCCTAATTGAGAAGAGTGTAGCTTGGAGCCAGGAGGAGGTTGATGGGTTTATATCAGTTTTCTTGGGCTATGTGGGCTAGGGCATGGATTTGGGGCAGGTGTGGTTGTTTTGGAGACTCTTCGTTCCCAGGGGTCTCCTGGGGAGCCCTCGTCGCAGACAGCTTTGAAAACAGTCCTTTATTATTCTTCAGTCTGCTTTTGCAATCAAAGCAGGAATGTCTATCAGAGAATAACTGCAGGAGATAGAAAATCGCTACATCCCCTGATGATTATGTCGTCAAGGCCCACGGAGATTGACATTTCCTATCATCAGCTTCTATAAAAATTCAGCCCCAGAGTGTCCACAGTGCTGTTTGTGGACACTTGGATGACATCACCCCGGATAGGGCTAGTTAATCAGAAGCAAGGACACTCACGCACTGAGAGCCTTCTTTGGAGACCCATGTCCCAGCAGTCCACCTACACGCCACCCTGCAGGGGGTAAGCTGTCTTGGTTTTCACAGGAACAGCCTCTTGGGTTTTCTAAAAGAGGCTCCATTCTGACTCACTGGTATAGCTGTCTCCATATCCTAAACTTTTATATACGTTCCAGCTTAATGTGTCAGCTGTGATCTTTGCCAGCAGCTACCCAAAAAACTGTTTTAGATAACTTTTATAAAAAAACCACCGGATCTGTGTGTTTTCAGCATGAACTTTTTTTTTTTTTTTCAAGTCACAAGCCAAATAGTACCCACGGAAGGAGCGTGTGTCTTAGTCATGTTTTGATCTTCTTGGTTTAAGAGTCTTTCGGGTCTAAGTTATTAATTGGCTTCTTCTCTGGCATTTCTGAGATGGTGAGTGATGTATTATCTGCCATGTTTTTCTCCTCTTCTTTTTTTTTGGTACTGTGGGTTGAAGTTACTTAGGGTCTCTTAACCGCTGAGCCACATTCTCAGCCCTTTTTATGTTTTATTTAGAGACATTGTCTCACAGAGTTGCTTAGAGCCTGGAATAGTTGCTGAGGCTGGGTTTGATCTTGCAATCCCCCTGCCTCAGCCTCTCAAGCCTCTGGGATTACAGGTGTGCACCACCACACCCAGCTCCTCTTTCTTAATAAGTAAAATAAATTCTGTTGGGGTGTATGTGTACATGGGTATGTGCGTGTGCATGTGTGTGTGTCGAATTTAGGGCCTCAAATCTGCTAGTGACATGCTCCTGTGGTCCGACACTGAGCCACACCTCTCAGGAGTGGTCACTGGAATGCTATCTAACATTTGTTAAAGCAAAACAGAAATCGTAGTTAATGGCCATCGATCAGAGAAGGGTGAGGGCTAAGAAGAGAGATGTGCACAGTGTCTCATAACCCAACCTTGTGTTCTGATGATGAGTGTGTTTGTGCTTTCTCTCTCTCTCTCTCTCTCTCTCCCCACCACCTGACCCAACAGCCGATTCTGGGGACCAGGACGAGCACCCTCTCCAAGAAGCAGCTCTTGCGCCTGTGAATAGTAGCCTCGTTGCTGCTCCCATCACGGACCCTTCTCAGAAGTTCCCTCAGCACCTACCTCTTTCCGCAGAGGATAATTTAGGTCCTCTGCCTCAAAACTGGGAGATGGCCTATACCGAAAATGGAGAAGTCTACTTTATAGAGTAATGTATACCATTCTTTCCACCTCCACCTCACCCTCTCTTTATTCTCCTACCCTCTCCCTGGGAAGCTGCAGATATAAATTAAATCGAAATCCCTCTTAACTGATGTTATTGTTTTATACGACTTAACAACTTTTTATATGAAAAATAAGATAGCTGTTTAGTGTTTTAGTCTGCTTTTTCACTCTTTTGATTGAAAGACCCGACTTTTATAATTGTAGAGGAGGAAAAGTTTATCTGGGGGCTCAGGGTTTCAGAGGTCTCAGTCCACAGACAGCAGACTCCACTCCTCGGGGCTCGAGGGGAGGCAGGACATCATGGAGGAAGAGTGTGGTGGAGGGAAGCAGCTCACATGGTGATCAGGAAGCAGAGAGAGACTCCACTCTCCAGAGACAAATAGAGACCCCAAAGCCACGCCCCCAATGCCCCCTCCTCCAGCCACACCCACCTGCCTCCAGCCACCACCCAGTTAATCCCATCAGGGATCCATTCACTGGTTGGGTTAAGGCTCTCACAACCCAGTCATGTCTCCTCTGAACCTTCCTGCACTGTCTCACATGTGAGATTGTAGGGAATATCTAATATCTAAATCATAATGATAGCCAAAATATTCTAATTACGGTACCTTAGGAATTTGAGGAGTAATTTCCCTAAAGGTTTAGACAACTAAATTATAGTGTATGTAGATTATGTTATAATATATAAAGAAAATGTTTAGGCATTAAAAGTATTACATTCTTTGCTTATTTTTTCTTAATTGGGTTGTGGTTTTCTTTTTTTTTCCTTTAAATATTTTTTTACATGTTGATGGACCTTTATTTTATTCATTTATGTATACGTGGTTCTGAGAACCGAACCCAGTGCCTCACACATGCTAGGCCAGTGCTCTACCACTGAGCACAACCCCAGCCCAGTTGTGGTTTTCTTATGGCTAAGTTTTAAGAGTTCTTCATTTATTCTAGATACCATTTGTACTTTTGGCTAAATTATTTATCAAGATTATTGACTTTTTAAGTGTGTTACATTCTGTAGCATGTTAAATTTTATGGGAATTGGATCTACCTTGTTTTATGCATGTGTATATATGTAAGTGTGTACAAGTTTTACAGTTTGGGAGAAATTAAAAATATCGGAATTAAAAAGAACATTAAAAAGTCAAGCATCGAAAGGAACTGAATAGATACTTTACAGAAAGAAGAAATACAATCGGTCAACAAATATATGTTGAAATGTTGAAAACTTTTCTAGCAATTAGAGAAATGCAAATTGAAACTACACTGAGATTCCATCTCACTCCTGGAAATTACCAAGAATATAAGTAACAATAAATGTTGGTGAGGATGGTGGAAAAGGTCTACTCATACATTGCTGGTGGGACTGCAGATTGGTGCAACCACTCTGGAAAGCAGTATGGAGATTCCTCAGGAAAACTGGGAATGGAACCACCATTTGACCAATTTATCCCACTCCTTGATTTATTCCCAAAGGACTTAAAATTAGCACATTACAGTGACACAGCCACATCAATGTTTATAGTAGTTCGATTCACAATAGCCAAGCTTTGGAACCAACTTAGGTGCCCTTCAACAGATGAATGGATAAAGAAAATGTGATATATATATGTACAGTGGAATATTAATCAGCCATAAAGAAGAATGAAGTTATGGCATTTGCTGGTAAATGGATGGAACTGGAGGCTATCGTGGTGAGTGAAATAAGCCAATTACAAGAAAACAAAGGCCGAATATTCTCTCTAATATGCAGATGCTAACACACAATAAGCCAGGGGAAGAATAAAAGTTCATTGGATGAGACAAAGGGGAATGAAGGGAAGGGAGAGGATGGGAACAGGAAAAGACAGTGGAATGAATGGGACAGAACTTTCCTCTGTTCATATATGAACACACGACCAGGGAAACCCCACATCATGTCCAACCACAAGAACGGGTAGTTTTACTCCATGTGTGTGTGACATGTTAAATAGACTCTATGGTCATGTTTGCCAAAAAAGAACAAATTTTAAAAAGTTTTCGGAAGTTAAACATGGACTTAGCCACTTTGGACATCACATAGAAAACAGACATAAGAGGACTTTGAAAGGAGAAGCAAATAAAGTCTGCTACCTCGGGAGCTAAGGATCAGAGGAGCTACAGGTAGGCCATCTGGAGCTTTCTTTTGATTTCATTTACCCACGACTTGGAGCTAAAGTAGCCTGCGGACCAGGAATACCCATGGAGAGGAGCACAGAAATCCTGATGAAGCCTGCTTTCTCCAGCCCAGGGCCAGACTGGCACCCTCCCAGGACAGCTGTGTATTCAGCTGTGATTTGCCTAGTTTCAGAACTTAGAATTACCTGTGGACCCGATCCACTCCCGGCCCCCCAGCCGTGGTTTAGCTGGGAACCTGGGCCTCTCCCCTGGGTCTGTGTGACAGAAGAACAGTCCCTCCTGCCATGTGCTTTCAGAAGAGGTTCCATGGAAAGCTGATACTCGGGTTGAAGCCATTCAGCAGCACTGCCCCCTCCCCACCTGGACAGGCGGCAGGGAGAGCCGGCATCTGATCTTCCCCCATTTGGCAGGAAGAGGTCACCTGCTCCTCCTCACTGGGGTGTTCATTGAAGAGTCACAAAGGAGGGGCAGGATTGTCACTTTCATCCAGTGGCAAATAGTCCACCCTCCTTTTACAGTCAGTGAGGCCACTTTGGGTGCAACAGTGAGATATTTCTGCCTCTTCCAGCCATGGCCTGGTGGGGAGCTGCAACTGCTCTCCCTTTGCAGGGCAGGCAAGGATCCCCTTCCCCTTTCAGTGTCCATGAAAGCTAGGGGACATGGGAGTAATGGGTAGCACCCCTCTTTCTTCTCTGGAGTATTGTCAGGGAAAGGGGCAAAACCAGAAAGTTAAAGTATAAAGTCCAGAGTCCTGTGAAGTAATACCCCAAATCTGCAGGTTAATAAAGAAAATCACTTCTTGTACCAAGAATAAGGACGATCTCAAGTTGGATGGGAAAAGCTAGGCTGTAGATGCAAAAACTAAGATGACAGAAATGTTACAATTAGCTAACAACAACAAAAAAAACTTTTAAAGCCATCATTATAAAAATGTTTCAGTGAACAATTATAGACATGCTTAAAACAAAAGGAAAAAAGTCTCAGCAAAGATACATAGAATAGAAATGTTTGAAAATACAGTAGTCAAAATGAAAAGCTTGCTACATGGATTCAACATCCTCCAGCTCCTCAACACAAGAATGAAAAGGAGCCAGGAAAGAATCTGAGAACCTGAAGATGCAAATTAGAAATCACCCCAATGTGCCAGGTGCAGAGGTGCACACCTGTCATCCCAGTGGCTCGGGAGGCTGAGGCAGGAGGATCCGTGAGTTCGAAGCCAACCTCAGCAAAAGCAAGGCCCTAAGCAACTCAGTGAGACCCTGTCTCCAAATAAAATAGAAAATAGGGCTGGGGATGGGGCTCGGTGGTTAAGCACCCCTGGGTACCAAAAAAAATCACCCAATATGAACAACGCATAACGTTGGGGGGAGGAGAGCGGAGAATAAAAGCTTCAAGCACTTTCGGATCAATAACAACAGAATTGGCTGTCTTCAGAATCCCAGGAGAAAAGAAAGTGTGTGGGACCGGAGGGGAAATAATGCTTGAAGAACTGATCTCTGAGATTTCCTCAAATATGGCAAAAGAAATCAACCTGCAGATTCAGGAAGCTGGGTGAGTACAAAAAGAATGAACCCAAGGAGACGACACCAAGACAACTGTACATCACAGTGGAATTTCTGAAAACTGAGCTCAAAGATGTTGAACAAGAGGAGTGACACTTAGAGATGTGAGTAAAACAGTTCAAAGAACAGCTCTTTTGACCCAAGGAACCACAGAGGCGAGAAGGAAGTTGTTTTAGTCATTGTTTTTGCTGCTGTGAGTAAAAGACCCACCAAGAACAACTGTGGAGGAGGAAAAGTTTATTGGGGGCTCAGGGTTTCCGAGGTCTCAGTCCACAGACAGCAGGCTCCATCCCTCGGGGCTCGAGGGGAGGCAGGACATCATGGAGGAAGAGTGGTGGAGGGAAGCAACTCCCATGGTGATCAGGAAGCAGAGAGACTCCACTCTCCAGAGACAAATAGAGACCCCAAAGCCACGCCCCCAATGCCCCCTCCTCCAGCCACACCCACCTGCCTCCAGCCCCCACCCAGTTAATCCCATCAGGGATCCATTCACTGGTTGGGTTAAGGCTCTCACAACCCAGTCATGTCTGGACCTTCCTGCACCGTCTCACATGTGAGCTTTTGGGGGACACCTCACATCCACATCACAACAGAAGTAGAACACATTTTTCAGATACTAAAAGAAAAGAGAGTCTTTTGCACCTAGTGGGAATATCCTACATCCTACAGAATGAAGGGAATCACGCCTCAGATGAAGACCTGTCACCGTGGGCTGCTCTCCATGAGTGGCTAAAGAATATTTCTAAAGCAAAAGAGAATTCTAAAAAAAAAATACTCTTGGAACATGGAATAGAAGAACTAACAATGGAAAAATCAAAAATATAAGTAAATTTGATACATTTTTCTTCAACTCTTGGATTTTTTTAATTAAATTTGAAGATTACAGCAAAAGTAACACTCCTTAATTTTTTTTCTAAATGTATGTAGAAAAACCCATTTTAGACATTTTATTATTGTTGATTGTGGTGTTGAGAGTGGTCCCCAGGACCTTATGCATGGTAGGCAAGCTCTACCACAGAGATATCAGCCAATGGTGTAGTTCCCAAGCCCAAGACAATTTTATTATAAATGAGGGCAGAAAAAGGAATATAGTGGAGAAAAGATTTATATACTTTAATCAAACCAGGGTAATATAATAACAGTAGATTGTGATAAGATATACACACATACACTTAAATATGTATATAAGTATATGTATATCTAAGTGTGTACATATAGTGTAATATAGTATATCTTATTACTTAGATTGTGGTAAGATATGTTAATATTTATATATAATCTAATGTACATATAATGTCCAACCTGAAGCAACCATTTAAAGAGTTTTAAAAAGAAATATAACTGGGCACAGTGGTGCATTCCTATAATCCCAGAGGCTTGGGAGGCTGAGGCAAGAGGATCACAAGTTCAAAGCCAGCCTCAGCAACTTAGTGAGGTCCTAATCAACTCATTGAGACCCTGTCTCTAAAATATAAAAAAGGGCTGGGGATGAGGCTCAGGGGTTGAGAACCCCTGGGTTCAATCCCTGGAATGAAAAACAACGAAGGGAAGGAAGGAAGGAGGGAAGGAAGGAAGGAGGGAGGGAGGGAGGGAGGGAGGGATGGAGGGAAGGAAGGAAGGAAGGAAATGTACTTAGAATATTATAAATAAATAAAAGTGGAACTCCAAAGTCAATTAAACCACAGGAAGCCTGGAAAAATAAAACAAAGTGGAAGACTTAAGGCATAACATCATGAATATTTATATTAATTAAACTAAATACATCAGTTAAAAGAATCACAAAGTGGATTAAAAAACACTACCCAATTATAGGCTGACTATAAACATTTATTCTGGGTATTAACAGTTTGTGTTGAAAGAAAAGAGAAAAATGGGTCTTACAGAGTGGCCATATTAATATCAGATAAAGTAGGAAATTTTCCAAAGTTTTTGGAAGGAAATAATATATTTCTAAAGAGCCCGTGAGTCAAAAAGGAAATCTCAAGAGAAACAAGGTAAGCCAATGATGAGAGGTAAATTTATAGCAGTAAGCACATCTATTAGAAATGAGGAGCAAAATCAACAATCTATACTCTTATCTCAGGAACCTAGAACAAGAAAAGTAAATCAAAATAAGCAAATGAAAGGCCATAATATAGAGAGAAATCAATGCCATTGAAAACAGAAAACCAAGGGGAAATCAAGGAATCAAACAACTCATTCTTCAAAATATTTACAAAAGCAGAATTTCTAGCAAGAATGTCAAACAAGGACTGGGGCGGTGACTGAGGGGTAGAGCACTGGCCTAGCATGTGTGAGGCACTGGGTTTGATTCCCAGCACTGCATATATGAGTAAAATAAAGGTCCATCAATAACTAAAAATATATATTTAAACGTGGAATTTTTTTATTTTAAAAAAAAAGGAATTCCAAATAATGAGTTACAAAAATCCTTAATGTTAGAAAGGAAAGAGGGGACCACTCAGACCCTGAAGATATCCAATAAATAAGAGGGTTCCACCAACAAACCTGCCCACATACATTTAACAACTTGGATGAAATGGAGCCGTTCCTCAAGAAGCGCACACCACTGCAGCAAAAATAATATGAAACAGGTCATTCCAATAGCTCTCCAACTCTGAAGAAAAGTGAATCTGCAGTTTTGAAACTCCTGAAAAAGAAATCTTAGGCCCAGATTGTTTCCTTGGAGAATTCCACTAATCCTATAAAGAAAAATGAACCACATTTCTACACAGTTTCTCCCAGAAAAGAGAAGGGGGGAAGAAGCCTTCCTAATTATTTTTGTGAAACTGCTATTTCTCTGACTCTAAAGCTCAACAAAGAAGTAGGAAAAAAAATATATGTACAAAAATCCTTAACAAGTATCAGCCAACAATATTTAGTAAGATACGTTGTACCTGCCCAGCGTAGTGGTGCAAGCCTATAATCCCAGCAGCCCGGGAAGCTGAGGCAGGAGGATCGTGAGTTCAAAGCCAGCCTCAGCAATGGTGAGGCAACAAGCAACTCAGTGAGACCCTGTCTCTAAATAAAATACAAAATAGGGCTGGGGATGTGGCTAGGTAGTTGAGTGCCCCCTGAGTTCAATCCGCGGTACCCTCTACCCCTGGCCGCCACCAAACAAAAAAAGACACATTGTTCCTATGACCAGTAGAAGTTGTTATAATATGTAGGGCTGGGTCAGTAGCATGTGTAAAGCCAAGTGATCCTCAGTAAAAATGAAATGAAATAAAACGCACACTATATTTTAATAGTCTAAAGAAAAAAAATCAAATTATCACATTAACACAGAAAAAGCATTTACAACACTGAGTATTCATAAGAAAACTTATCAGTAAATTATTAGTGGAATTTTCTTGATTTGATTAAAAGCATATATGAAAAATCTATAGTCACCATTATACTTAATAGTGAAAGAAGAAATACTTCCTGCATGTTTAAGAACAAGCCAAGGATTTCAGCACTCATCACTCTTATTCAAAATCATACTGAAGAGGGTCCCGGGTTGGGGCTCAGTGGTAGAGTGCTTGCCTAGCATGTGTGGGGCACTGGGTTTATCCTTAGCACCACATACAAATAAATAAGTAAAATAAAGGTATTGTGTCTGTCTACAACTAAAAATAAAAAAAATTTAAAAATCATACCTAACCTCTAGCCAGTTTTATAAGCCAAGGAAAGCCAATGAGATTACAAAGGAAGAAACAAAACTGACCCTCTCTATGGATCGCAGGATTAGGAAGAGAATTATAGAATACTGTACTCAGAAAGATTCTTTCAGTTCACCACAGTTGCAAGATAAAAGGTCATATGAGTATTTATTTTATGTCTACATCCTAGCAATACTTAGACACCCCCCATCCTTCCAGATCTATAGCCTAAACTTCCAACTTCAAAAAAAAATTGAGATTGCTGCCTAAACATTTAAAAAAAAAATAAAGAAAAGAAAAGGAAAATTTTTGAATTTCTTGTTTTCTTTTGTGGTTTGTAGCCAGAACTATTAGACTTGTCCTACCACTTAGCTGCACAATACTGGGTCCTCAAACAGAACGCTCCTTGCTCTGCTTTGGGAAGCACAAAGGCAGACTTCTTCCAACTGTGCTGGTGACTTTTTTTTTTGGAACCAGGGATTGAACCCAGGGGCCCTTAACCACTGAGCCCCATCCGTAGCCCTTTTTATATTTTTCTTAGAGACAGGGTCTTTCTGAGTTGCTTAGGCCCTTGCCAAATTGCTGAGGCTGACTTTGAATTCCTCCTGCCTCAGCCTCCCCATTGCTGGGGGATTACAGGCCTGTGCCACCACACCCAGCTGGTGAGGTCTCTAATATGAGTGAAAGCCAGTGTCCTTGAGAATGTGTCTGTCTGTCCTTTCAGCTGTTGAAGGCCCTGATCACTGTTGAAAGACATCATGCATGGCTGGGCTTGGACCCTCCAGAAGGTGCTGGGGCAGCATGTTTAGCGTCTCCACACTTTGTCTGGGTGGCCCAGGTTCTATTTACAATGGCTAATTAGGGGTTGCCTTCCGTGTTTTGAGAACCTGATTTAGGATGCTGTCACGACTCATGTGTACGCGTGGGTTTGAGCCCCTTGTGTGAATTGCGGTCATTTCACACAGTTGTGGGGGTGCTCAGGAGTGAAGTAGCAGACTTCTCTGTGAATTCCAGCATCCAAGATTTAAGTCAGAGACACATTTAAAATAAATTAGAAATTGCTCTTTGGCAAATGTGAAGGCTAATAGGGTAAGTCTAGACAGTTACCAAGGCGAGCCATTGGTAACTCGTTTTTCAAACTGAAGCTGGTATTACATTTTCAGCTTGCAGTAATTGAATGATTGGAGCTCAGGCAGGGAAAGTGCCTCCTTGAGATTCTCCCCCGAGTGATTTTATCACTTCAAACTTCTGGTTTGAGTTTGCTGATGAAAAGGATCTTTGTTTTGGTTGAAGAGCAAATAGTCAAGTGTGGGTACTTCTTCTGTCGTTGGACTTTTTTCTTAACCCCATTTTAAAATGAATTTCTTTGCTTTCATTTGTGAATTGCAGCCATAACACAAAAACAACGTCTTGGTTAGACCCTCGGTGCCTGAACAAACAGCAGAAGCCTCTAGAAGAGTGTGAAGATGATGGTAAGTTCTCAGAAGATTTGGCTCAGGTGAATTGGGGGCCTGTTCACAAGAGCAGACTTGAAAGAGTGATCCAAAGGTCCAGTGTGGTTTGTTTGTTTTTGGTACCAGGGATTGAGCCCAAGGGTGCTCAACCACTGAGCCACATCCGCAGTCCCCTTTGTATTATATTTAGAGACAGGGTCTCACTAAGTTGCTGAGGCTGGCTTTGAACTTGCAATCCTCCTGCCTCAGCCTCCAAGCCACTGGGATTACAGCCACCACTCCCAGCTTCAGTCTGTTTTTAATATCGAGCTTTGAAAAGGTAATTCAGTTTTGAAATTGAGGACAGTAGCACGTGCCTATAACCCCAGCTACTCAGGAGACAAGAGGCAGGAGAATCGCAAGTTCCAAACCAGTCTGGGCAACTTAGTAAGCCCCTGTTACAAAATAACATCTTTAAAAAGTGCTGATAGCTCAGTGGTATAACTCTTGCTTAACATGCATAAGGCCCTGGGTTAATAAGTTAATGCAATTTCTAGGAAATGCCCTGAGTTTACCAAAACAGGAGGAAATTGAGTAGGTTTGTTTTTTGTTTTGTTTAAACAACAATCCTTTATATACAAAGGAGGTGTACTGTCTTATCTCCACTGGAAACAGAACCTCAGTTCAGCCAGAAACAAAGGTACCCAATGAGGTATCTGCACTGGATACCTCCTATGCTGGCAGATACCTCCTCTGCCTTCAGGGGGCCTGGTAAAGACTTCAGAAATTCTCTGAGCATATAGACACCTGCGGTGCTACTGGACCATCACCCTATGTTACAAAAATCTTAGGGGAAAAAATCAGGAGCTCTGTGGGTGCTCCTTGTTTGATAATTCTGTTATTTCCCCAATTTGGGGGGCGGGGAGGAGAGCAGATTTTGATATGCTTGGGCATTTCCACGTGACTTAGGATGAACCCATACTGTCTGCAAAGTGTGTCCTCTGAGAAAGAGGCTGAGATGTTACTTACAGCCTCCAATCTCACTGCTCATCTTAGGATCAAAGTAACTGCCTGTGAAAGTTTTCATTGAAAAAGTTTGTTTCAAAACTTTGGGGTTTATAATTACTTCTCCAAAATGAAGAAAAAAAAAATTAAGACACAGCAAATTTGTACCCTTTTTAGCAGTACTCAGAAATCTCTCCCGAGCTCTACCAAAATTGCTTTTTGTTGTGGACTTTTTGAAAGGGAAATGGTTTTGTTCCTCATTATTCAATTCTGGCATTTGCATTAGCAGTATAATTATTCAGCACATATTTTTCCGTAAGACAACAGAACTATTAATTCATTCTATAGTGCAGAATTGTTGTGTATATAAATCTGAGGTTTGTTTGAAAATGCAAGTCAGTATTTTAAAGGATGCATCTTGTCGAAAACTTGCACTCCAAGATCTTCCCATTATACATGGTTTGCAGATTCCCTGGAATGAACATGGAATTTTACATTCAGGTTTATCTCAGTGACTTCAAATGGAAATGCATGTCCTGCTAACCTAGGCTTGAGCGACTTGCTTATTTTGTTATTTAGTTCCATTCCTGAAGGAGTGGTGCAAGTCTGATCAGTTCTATTATTTTTTTTTTTCATGCTCTGGGGACAATAGAATGTCCTGCTTATTTAAAGGTTCTGTTTAGTATAGAATAGTTAAGTGACTAATTTTCAAAGATTAGAACATAAGACACGTTCAACCGTGAAACTTCATGGAACCACATCTGATCTGTATTTGAAGACTGATGATTTTGAAGGCCATTTACGACTCTATGTAGGGTTTTCAATGACAGAATGCATTGTAGCTACAGTGGGATTGTAGAAAATGCCTCTTAATATAATTTTAATGACTGCAAGAGCTTTTACTGAGAAAAAAAAAAAAACTATTAGTGGAATAAAGTACTGAGAAGAGTCCCTGAACAGTTTCATTATTGGTAATTTTAACTCTTAGAATTCTTACCATTTCATAAATTAATGTAATTTCCTTTAGCCCAAGTGTGTATCCCTAGCACATGCAGTTAGCTTCACAACTCCACTTTCAGCATTAGACTTTATATATTCTATTTCTACTATAAATAGATATTTTTGTGTGTCTGTGCATACAAACCTTACAACTGCGTCATCGGAGGATGATGAATTTTGTTTTGCTTCTTCTCTTGCCAGTGAACATCAGGCTGCCTTGGGTGCTTGTTTAGATATTTGCTGTTTATATGTTATTACTTGTAACCATTATTGGTTACAAATGTTTCTACTCTCTGCAGTATAGCTGCCATGCTATGGTATGCCTTCATACTTAATCATGGTGAAGGTTTAACGTTTTTCCATTTTGAGTGTGGGATTTTGATCTTTGGTGTATTAATTACTCCTTTGGTCCTTGCTCTCTGCAGCTAGTTCTCATAGAAACCTCCGACCTTGCCTTTGAGCTCGGGGCTAGGGTTTTAATCTGCCTGATTGATAATGCCAACTGGTGGTCTCAAAGAGACTTCAGACTCAGCCTGATTATAACCAAACTAATGATCTTGCCTCCCTCCCACCTCCCCACACACATGAGACCTGTCATAAGCGTTCGCCATCTCAGTTGAATGAAAATTCATTCATACCAAAGAGTCCTACTGATCGGGCACAGTGGTGCACCATAATCCCTGCTATTCCGGGGGCTGAGGCAGGGGAAGCCCAAGGTCAAAGCCATGGTCATCCTGGACAAGTTAGATCCGGTCTCAAAAAGAGCTGGGGGTGGAACTCTGTGGTCGAATGCCCCTGGGTTCAATCCCTAGTACCACAAATAAAGAAAAAAAAGGGGAAAGAAAGGGTCCTATTGAGTGGCCACCTTTCTTTGCACCCATTTCTAGTCTGTGAACCAGCTAAATTCACTCTTCCCCTACGTATTTCTGAAGTCCATTCCCTAATTCTTCACCTCCTCTGCCATTCCTAGCACACCTTTCTTTCTTAGGCTGAACCCAGAGCAGGTTTTGAAAATGTAACTGTGCCGATGCTGTCCCCGTCCCTGAGCACCCTCAGGCCCTACGTTCGTTCGGTGGCCTCCCAGTTTGCCCTGCGAGTGCCTGGTCCCCAGGTCACTTTCTCTGAGCCCCACGTGGTTCAGCTCCACCCAGGCTCTCTGCCCTTGTCCCCACCAGTCCTGAGTCCCTGCCCCTGGTAGGTAGGTGTGCATTTCTCTTCTCAGACTGCTCCTTCTCGTCACAGATGGTTATCCAGAACCTACTCTATGCCAGAATGCTCTTCCACCCTTCAGGGGTATCCGTGAGTGCAACGGACGGAAAGTCTGGCTTTCATAGCCACATCAGTTCCAGGCGTTTCCCACCTAAATTTGGCATATCCTTCAGATCATAGCTCAGAGACTCTCTCCACGATCCGTCCACTCTTGTGTGTATCTCATGCTAGAGACCTTTTTTTTTTTAAGTTGTAGATGGACACCATATCTTTTAGTGATTGATCGATTGATTGATTGATATGTGACACTGAGGATCGAACCCAGTGCCTCACACATGCCACACACGTGCTCCACCGCTGAGCCACAACCCCGGGCCCTCGCTCTAGAGATATTACCATAGTTTTAATTTTGGTTTTAATTTTGTCTCCTCTTCTCAAAGGGTAGACACATTTTCCTGCTTATTGTGATATCTCTGCCACCCACCACGATGACCGGCACATGATAGGTCCTTGTAAATTATACTGAAAGAAATGAATGAATGCTCCCAAAGATGGATAATATCCAGATAGGCATGTTCACAAATGATTTTTTTTTTTATAACTCATCGCCAGTTGAAACTCACTGATGAAAACCGGCTAGTTTCTTAAGTCAAATGCTTACAAGATATTTTTTTGTTTGTTTCTTTGTTTGTTGGGGGGTACCAGGGATTAAACTCAGGGGCACTCAACCACTGAGCCCCATCCCCAGCCCTATTTTGTATTTTATTGAGAGACAGGGTCTCCCTGAGTTGCTTAGGGCCTCGCTAAGTTGCTGAGGCTAGCTTTGAACTCAGCCTCCAGAGCTGCTGGGATTATAGGCGTGCACCACAAGGTGTTTAAATTCCTGTTTGTTCCTTAATAATGGATCCACTCATTCATTCATTCATTCATTCAAGGAATATTTGTTACCTAACATGTACCAGGAAACTCCCCTGGGCACTGAGCATGCCCTAGTAGTGAGAATAGACTCAACCTCTGTTGTCCCCATTTGGAACTTCCAGCAGAGGGGGCAGCCACCTACATTGCAGTTGGGCCAACTTTATGTATGAAAGGACTTTTGTGTGCTCTGCTGTGATGTCAGTAATAAAGCGTTTTATTGTCAGCATGAGGAGGCGTGGAATGGAAAGGATTTTACTCATTTTGCTTGCTGAAGTCAGTGAGAACATTTCACCTGTACTATTTCTGAATCATTTGACTTTTAAAACTTTTCTAGAAAGAAACACCCCACCCGGTAGACTCTGCCTCCCCACGCTCCTTCAGTGCATTCATCAAGCATCCCTTCCTGGGTGTGTTTCTCATCATGACTTAATTCATCTTTCTCTCCTCTTTGAAAGACTCTGAACTCATTGTACCCCCTGCTCTCTGAGTGCCACCTCCCTGTCCCTTTTCAAGCAGCCGTATTACTTATAAGTTAAGTAATTATTTAATTGTGCGTTTAATTGCCTCACTGATGAGTGGATTATTGGAGGATTAAAAGGACTCATATTGAAAAGTCTCACAGCTTTGTTGGCGGCAAATAAGGTCTGTAATAAGTGACTTCCCACTTAGGAACGTTGAGACCTCAAAGGTGTATTTCATCTTTTACAACCAATCAAGCCCTATTTTGGCATGCTAGGAAATGAGCCGTGTAATTATTTTGCCAATATCAGCTCTTACTGTTCTGTGATTCACGTTGAGGTCACACTTTCTGGCCAAGCCAATGAAATGAGCCACGGTGCAGGTAAGGACACAATCAAGTGATGGAGTTGCTGCTGTTATTTTTTTGTTTTGTTTTGTTTTTTAATTTTCTGTGGGGAGCTTCTGTCTTGGTGTTGGTGTCTGAATTTTTCTTTCTCTCTTTTCTGTCTCATTCCTGCTATTCCTTTGGAGAAGAAGGGGTACACACCGAGGAGCTGGACAGTGAACTAGGTAAACCCTCTGCTTGCCTGCCTGCCTGCAGCTGATGTCGCATGATTGATTACCCTGCATGATTTTATAAACTGCATGTTCTATTTTTTTTTTTTTGGTACCAGGGATTGAACCCAGGGGCACTTGACCACTGAGCCCCATCCCCAGCCCTATTTTGTATTTTATTTAGAGACAGGGTCTCACTGAATTGCTTAGGGGCTTTCTAAGTTGCTGAGGCTGGCTTTGAACTCACCATCCTCCTGCCTCAGCCTCTCGAGCTGCAGGGATGAGAGGCGTGCACCACTGCACCTGGCCAAGGCTTTTGTTTTTAAGGATGTTTAATGCGTCGTCCTCTGATCATCGTGGTAGGAATGGCTTAAGGTTCAACGCTAAATTTCTTTAAAAAGAAGATGAAGAAGTCATCAATTTAATGATTAGATAATTGAAAAAGACAGGGCTAGGTTTTCCATATACAAAACAATTGTGTTGATCATTTGTGGAACCAATTTCAATCCCTCTTGCTACCTGAATGCTCTCTGTGAGTGGCCACTGGGGATCACACAGCTGTGCGCAGAGCAACCTTAGTTGCTTCTATGGAAGTTCAGATGGTAAAATTTCCAGAAGGAGCTTTCCGTGTTTCTCCCTGGGCCACTGTGATGGCCTTAAAGACCTCTAAAAGATGAGTTTTAATGGTGCATGATTCCCTTCTCCTAGTCACTGCCGGAATTCTGGGAGGTGGGTGGTGCAGGGATGGAGGCGTCTCTGTGGTCTGACCAGACTGCCTGGCTCCCCTGCTTACTGCCTCTGTGACCTCAGCCAATATCCAGAATTGCCCATTACCTGACCCCACTTCTGTTTGCTTCCTTTTTATCAAAATGTATAAATTGGGGCTGAAAGAAGAGCTCTTGGAGATTTACTGAAAATGCATTTCTATATATGTCACTGTGATCAACTCATGGGCGCTATTGCTAGTTTTATTATCATCTAATTCTCATGGGATTTATCAATACTTCTTACAGCATTTTTTCCTTTTAACGAAAGTCAAGGAAGGAGTGTGTTCTGTCCTGCAGAAGTAGCCTGGATGTGTTTTAGTCTTGTTTTGTTTTTTAGTTAGTTTTTTTTTTTTAATTGTACCAGGAATTGAACTCAGGGGCACTCAACCACGGAGCCCCATCCCCAGCCCTTTCCATCTTTTATTTAGAGACAGGGTCTCACTGAGTTGCTTAGGGCCTCACTAGTTGCTGAGGCTGGCTTTGAACTCATGATTCTCCTGCCTCAGCCTCCTGAGCCCCTGGTATGACAGGCGTGCACCACCGCGCCTGGTCTAGATGTGTTCTTTTAGGCAGGGTAGCAGCATGGCCCTTGGATTTTGCCTGCTTCTGTACCGTGTAACTCCTGGTCTGTGCACATGTGCAGACACACCCTTGGTCTTTTCTGTTGCACGTACCCTGGAGTCTGTTGACAAGCTCTCGGCCCATTTTCTCAATGAAAGGGTCCTAATTTCAAACAAAAGCATCGGTCAGGATTTCAGTGAATGGTGTGCCAAGGAAACCTCATTCTCTATAATCTGCCCCGAGTGGTACAGGCGGATGGCTGAGGTGCTGGACACAGACCATTTGGTTATGAAGTTGTCATTTCTGAGCTCTGTTGTTGGAGTTGGGTCAGTAGCTCCATTATGTACCTTTTGTTTGCTTAACTTATCTACATCTTCTGCAGAAGTCTTCCCAGAATGAAAAACAGAGCCTTCTTTTGTAACTACAGGGTTTTCTGGTGGTGAAACCAACTAGGGAAGGTAGAGACAAGAAAACCGAGTTCCCCTCCCCGTCAAAACTAAGGCACCGTTTTGGAATTCATCTTTGATCTGGAACACGATTTTCCAGGTGTACCCTGACAGATCTGTTGAAAGGAGCATAGAACATTACACTACTCAATATTTACTCCTGAAATGAAAAATGATATTGCGTGAAATTTTCAGAGGCAGGAATAGCAAGCAGGTGGGCTACAGAAATCCATCCTGGTCCTGTGTGCTCTCGGGTGGCTGCTGCTCTTTGTTGGATATTTGCTGAGGTCCATCCTGTGCTAAGTGTTTTTCAAGCATCCTCCTTTAATCCATGGTTGACCTTTGATGTGAACCCAGAAGAAAGGTTATGGTTCAGAGGTGTTAAGTAACCAGCCCAAGGCCACAGAGCAAAAGAGCTAAGTGGAATTTAAGGTTAAATGCCAGATCTGGACAGTGCCAGAAAGATCTCAGTGTTCTTTAGTCTCCATAATGAATTTTATGGTCTTTGACAGTGGTTAGATATGGTGGGGTAGGGGCTCAGAAATCTTCAGTGCTTATTAAAAAAAAAAAAAAAAAAAAACTATAATAGAATGTATAATATTCTGGGCTTAAATATTTCCTGCCATTTTTAGTTTTTTTAGAACCAAATGGCAATTCTAGGACAAACATTTTCTTTCTTTCTTTTTTTTTTTTTAAATTGATGACCCACTTCTATTTTAAGCATTGGGAGACTAATTCCTATTATTAAGTTAATCACCACATTTGGAAGTGAGAAATCTATCTTTTCAATTCAAAAGGAGTTTTAACTTGAAGAACTGCAAAATTTCTGGAGTTGGTCCATCTGTTCCAGAAGTTTTAAAATCAGCCAATATCCAGAATTGCCCGTTAACTGACCCCACTCCTGAACTCTGGAATGTTAATAGGTTATTGATGGGGCAACAGGTCAAGATCCAGGAGTAGCTTTTCTTTTTCTCTTTTCGTGTCTCCATCAAATCACTGTCTGCTTGGGCAGTGAGCTTGTGTTTATCTTCATGTCGCTGTTGTCTGACATATCCTCGAGTAAACAGTTGGCACTCAATAAATGTTTATCTGCTTAATAGTTGAATACAGTAAATGCTTAATATCTTTCCCATTGTATCTAAGCAGGTCAAATATTTCAGGTTTCAGATTTTGAAAAGCAGTCTGGTTCTGTTAATGGTCACCGGGCTCCCCCCTCTCTGACCCATCTTCTACCCCATACAAATGTCTGACTTTGCACCAATTTGCCTTTTTTTAATCTTCAATTTTCCAACTCTCTGGAAATATTTTCCTGGTTTATTTTCATTTAAATGGTCTTTTCCAGCTTAGTAAAGGGAAACTGTTTCCCAGGTGTTTGATTTGCATCAACCCATAAGACTTGGTTTATAAAAATGCCAAGTTGTATCAACATCTGCAAATTGGACCTGTCTTGAATTTTAGTAGCTTATGTCTCCTGAATTCAAATACTTTTTTAGGGGGCATTGGGGGGTTGAACTCAGGGGTACCCAACCACTGAGCCCCAGCCCCAGCCCTATTTTGTATTTTATTTAGAGACAGGGTCTCCCTGAGTGGCTTAGCACCTTGCTGTTGCTGAGGCTGGCTTTGAACTCGCGATCCTCCTGCCTCAGCCTCCAGAATCACTGGGATTACAGGCGTGGGCCACTGTACCTGGCTATTCACAGATGTCTAAAAAGCCTGTTGAATTTTGTTTTGTTTTTAATTAGCAAAAGAAGGGGAGGGGTACCTGTCTCCTTGTTTGCAGACAAATAACACATGGAGCAAAAACCATGAAGTTCACGTTTCTCCGTGTGCAGGCAAGTGTGAGCCAGACACAAACGTTGAGCAGTCTTGAGTGTGCTTGGGGGTGCACTCACACCTTCCTCTCATTCTGAAACTGTGGGTGGCACAGGTGGGTCCTCACTGATGTCATAGTCATCATTGGAAAATAGCGACCATATGATTCCCTGGATTTTAAAAAATCGATTTCAAAATGCATGGCATTTCAAGGGTGTACCGGACACCATTCAAATAGTTCCTCCTAGTTCCTTCCAGGAATCACGATCCACTTTGGAGTCTGGCTTAATACAAGCTTGCTTTGGCAGCGTGTATGACGGTGGATGGAAAAGGAGTTGAATGATTGCAGCGCTCTCTAAAAAGGTGGTGTCCCGACATAAAATGCCACCTCATTGCTTTTTCCACCAAGTAAAATAATCGGATGCAAGGGGCTTCCCCACAATAGATTCTTGTCACAGAGGTCGCTATTTCCTGATTAATGAAATTCCAAACTAAGATCTGAAACCTTTCGAAGTCACATCCAGTAGGTCATGGTTGAGTTTTTGAAAATCACGTATGTCTCCCAAAGCCATTTTCCTACCATATTTAAGGGAATGACATCTTCCCCCGTAGGTAGCCAGTTTTATTTATTTATTTAATTATTATTATTGTCATTATTATTTTTTGGAGGGTGTACCAGGAACTGAATTACCAAGGAGCACATTTTCAGGCTTTTTGTATACTTTTCTATTTAGAGACAGGGCCTTCCTAAATTCCTTAGGGTTTCACTAAGTTGCTGAGGCTGGCTTTGAACTCGCGATCCTCCTACCTCAGCCTCCCGAGTCGCTGCCATCACAGGTGTGTGCCACAGTGCCTGGGTGTGTTACTTTTTTATAGGTGAAGTGCTGGGGAAGATGGACTGGCCCAAACACAGAAACAGAGTGAGCTGTGTGTGTGCAATTCAAACACACTCCTTCATACGGGCATTTTTTATTTACTCAGTAGCATTTTAATTAGGAACATGGAGAAAAATAAGATGCAGATTTAATTTTCTTCCAGAGAAAGGGAAACAGTTCTGTTGAACTGAAAACGAAAAGAAGCATTGATTTTCATCTGTTTTTGCCCTTGTGGTAAGGTAGCCTGGAAACCAAACAAGAAAACAGTAAATATTTCGCGTAGGTACTAGAGCGTGCAAGGCAAGTTTTTAACTATTTCCATTAAAAACGAATTTAATAGTTGGTTTAAAATAAAAGGCAGCTGGGACAGCATTTTATTAAGTTTTATTTTCTTGCGTAAAACACCAGTAGATAAAGAGTTGTTCTTCATGAGAAAAGTGCACTCAAGAAATAAAAGGAGTATGCACTTCTTTTTGGTTAGGATATACAGTTTTAATTGGGTTCAAAGACTTCTTTTTTTGGGGGGGTGGATACCAGGGATTGAACTCAGGGGCACTCGACCACTGAGCCCCATCCCCAGCCCTATTTTATTTTATTTTTTAAAGAGAGAGTGAGAGAGAGAATTTTAATATTTATTTTTTTAGTTATCGGCGAATACAACATCTTTGTTTTGTATGTGGTGCTGAGGATCGAACCCGGGCCGCACGCATGCCAGGCGAGCGCGCTACCACTTGAGCCACATCCCCAGCCCCTATTTTATATTTTATTTAGAGACAGGGTCTCACTGAGTTGCTTAGCACTTTGCTTTTGCTGAGGCTGGCTTTGAACTCGAGATCCTCCTGCCTCAGCCTCCTGAGCTGCTGGGACGACAGATGTGCACCATCATGCCCCGCAGGGGTTTAAGGCCTTCTTATGAGACCTTTTCTTTTTCTTTCTTTCTTTTTTTTTCTTTTTTTGGCCTACCTCAGTTGTCGATGGTCCTCAGGCTCTTCAAGAATCTGTTCTTCTTGTTCTAAATATTCTTTTATATTTCAGAACTGCCTGCTGGTTGGGAAAAGATCGAAGATCCTGTCTATGGTGTCTACTATGTAGAGTAAGTGGCTGTTCTTGTGTATGCTTCTGCTAAGCGGAGTTCGCCATCATGATCCTCTGCCTGCTAATTATGATATTAATTTCATACTGAAAATGCGTATGTCTGTTTTAATGAATGAGAAGATAATTCCGTGCATCCAAAGATAGTAAATTCCATTATTAAATTCAGGAGGGCAGGATCCACGTCTTCAACCATTTCACAAAGGCTGAACAGAGTCCTGACAAATGACAGGTACTTAATAAGTGTCAGCTGAGGACATCGATTGAGAAAGCTGGGGCATGAGGGAGCAGGGTTGTGGATCTTCAGGAGGAAGACCCACGTGGCCTACTTTTTGCCTTACCCGGGCACCAAAAAACAAACAAACAAAAAAAGTCACTGAAAATATACTCAAATGGTTGGGTGAATTTTAATAACTTATGAAATGTTGCCAAGATTAAGAAGGAAATGGAGAATAGGCTTCAGGATCTGTGATCTAGGTGCTTTGGGGCTGTTTCCTTCCAGAGGACATTTCTTCTGGAAGTTTCAAAGCCTTATGGTGACCCCGTCACCCTGTGCCTTATCCCAGCATTGGGCACACACTTTGTATTCATCAGAATCATCCACCCATAGGATGATTCCAAAGAAAATTAAAAAAAAAAAACAAAGAAATATAATTTAAAAACCGCACTGGCAATTTGGGGCAGAAGAGAGGTCATTTCTCAGGCCCTCCTAAAACTAGAATTTCCTTTGTAAACCCCAGAGGTCATCTTCCTTACAGTTACAGAGTGAGCTCTGTGTTGTTGGATGCTCATGTTGCTTTGCCTTTCAATTAGCTTGTGCCTTGAGTAAGAAAAGGAACAGAGGAGAGTCATTTTGGTGGCTGATGTGACTTGATTTTTTGAGGGGCAAGAGGCGAGGTCATAGGATATCCGCATAGCCCTGTGTGTGCTTATTTATGTACATTTCCACACACCCCCTAAAACGAGGCCATGGCAGAAAACCGTGTTGTCCTGGTCTTTGTCACTTTGAAAACATCACATCTGCTCAAGTTAGCTCTTATTTGCAGTCTCTCTGCCCAAGGGCTATACGTGGAATCCTGCCTCCTTGGGAACTGATCAAAATAGTTGACAGTTGTTAGTTAGTAGATGTGAGTGGATTCTTTTCTTAGTTTTGCAGTTTAGGTGAATGATCATGCGAACACTACTGTAGAAAGTCACTCGGCAGCTGTGGTATTACATGTTCCAGACAACATCACGCATCCACTTTTATCTTTCAACTGTTTTATAATCTACTTCTTCGTTGGGATTTAAGCGATTTCCTTGTCACTCGATACCTTGGGCATTTAGGTTGAGTCAGTGGTTAGAATTCTGGGATTTGAAATCAAACACACTTGAGCTGGCATGTGTGGGTATTGGGTCCCAACTATATTAGGTGAATTATTCACTAATGAAAAATCGACTTTCCTCATTGATAAAATCCTGTAGTCTCCCATTACTCATAGTTTTGCTTCCTGTGTTTTCAGTTACCGAAGGTCAGCTATGTTCTGAAAATAGTAAATGGAAGACTGCAGAAATAAATCACTTAGGAAGTTTCAAATTGCATGGGATTCTGATTCAGCCATCCCACTCCATCAACCGTGGGACAGAAGGATCCCTTTGTCCAGTGTATCCACGCTCTATATACTACCTTCCAGTTACTCTGTTCAGTAACTGTATCCGTTATCAGACTGACTATCATGGTATCACAATGCTTTTTTTCAAATTAACCTTATTTTACTTAATAATGGCCCCAAAGCACAAGAATAATGATGCTGTCAATTGGGGCACCCTCATGTGGAGCCAGAAGTGTTTTAAATGAAAAGGTGACAGTTCACAATCTAAGGGGGAAAAAAATTATATGCTGAGGTTGGTAAGATCTCCTGTAAGTGATTGTTGTTAATCTTGTATGTAAAGGACCAAAAACCATAGTATACGTAGGGTTTCACGTTATCCCTGATTCCAGTCATCCATGAGGGGTCTGGAAATGTATCCTTCAGGAACAAGAGGGTACTACTGTGTGCATACGGGTAGCACTTGCCTCAAGGCATCTACTAAGTCTTCTCACATAAAATACAGCATCATCCGCTTGGTGCAAGTAAGCAGCCTGTAATGGGAAGCTCTTTTTTCATCTCCCCCTTTTATGGGTGCATTTGACACTGGAGTCAACCTCAGACCACCCGCTTTGTTCACTGCTAATCCAGGGATGGGCTTTCTGCTAGTGGGATGCCCGTGTTCCAGCTGAAACCTGTTTGCCTTCCTCCCCAGCCACATCAACAGGAAGACTCAGTATGAGAACCCAGTTCTAGAAGCCAAACGGAAGAAGCAGCAACAACAGCAGCAGCAGCAGCAGCAGCAGCAGCAGCAGCAATCCCAGCAGCCGCCACCCCCAGAAGGTCAGCCTCTTCCCTGGAGGCTTTTTTACTCAAGCTGGGAATGTGGGGCAAAGCTGGGCACTGACGCCCCCTTGTGGTCAGAGCTGGCCTAGGTGATCAAGTGCTTCTACCTCCCTAAGGAGCTGCTGCTAGACACTGCTCCCCAGACCCCACGGGAGGGCTAACGGGGGAGCCCAGCTCAAAGGCATCCGCATCTCCACTTTAATTTAGAAGGCAGAAAAGTTTCTTGCTCCAGAAGCCTTGGCTTTGCAAGGGTCCTGGGCATGCCTTTCATTTAGGAACACTGTATAAGAATCAGAAAGAGCTGGTAATTTGGAGGGCTTTTTAAAATTTAAAATGACCTCCCTTGTAAAAAACAGAAACCGTTTAGGTGTGTAGATATTAAATTCTCTAATGCTCTCTGCCATCTTGTTCTCAGAGGTATATACTGCAAAAATTTTCTAAGGATGCTACATATGTTAACAAAAATCAGATAATTTTGTGGGTATGTGTATGTCATTTTCCTGGTTTTCCTCACTTTTTATTTCTGGCTTTTGCTTCGAAGGTCTTTAAAGCAAACTTACCTAATTTTTTTTTTTTCTTTGAACCAGAAATTGAACCCAGGGTCACTTCACCACTGAGTCACACCCCAGCCCTTTTTATAGTTTATTTGAGACGGGGTCTTGCTAAGTTGCTGAGGCTGGCTTTGAACTTGAGATCCTCCTGGCTCAGCCTCTCGAGCCTCTGGGATTATAGGCGTGCCCCACCACACCTGGCATGTTAGTCTTTTTTGATACATATAACCGGTCTTTTGTCTATTCACCTCTACTATTATAAAACACCCCTAGGCAGTATATAACTGAATAGGTGTACCTGTGTGTCAGTAAAACTTTACTTATGGTTGCGGGAATTTGAACTTTGTATAATTTTCATGTGTCATAAAATATTCCTTTTCTTTATTTTTTTCAGCCATTTAAAAATCTAAAAACTTGCCCAGACATGTTGTTGCATACCTGTAATCCCAGCTGCTTGGGAGGCTGAGGCAGGAGGATCTTTAGGTCAAGGCCAGCCTCAGCAAGTTCGCAATTAGCAAAACCCTGTCTCAAAATAAAAAAAAAAAAAAAAAAAGAGAGAGAGAAAGTGCTGATGATGAGAAAGAAAAAAGAATGTTACTCTGTCTCAAAGACTGGATACAAAGAGACATTGGGTCCAGTCTGGGATATGGGCGTGGTTTGCCAACTGCTGCCCTGAACCATGTAAATTTTGACAGAGTGTAATGCGTGTATATATTTGCCAGTTTCAAAGTTCTCTAAGTCTCTTCTGTTTAAAAAAAATTTTAAAAAAATATTTTTTTTCCCAAACTGGTGAAACTTGGCCTGTTGGAAATTACCATATGGGCAGTGGGGATGCGATTGAGTATAGAAACTGAGCTAGAAAGTAGCTGTTGTGGTTCTCAAGAGTCAGGGTGCCGTGGTGCACACCTGTCATCCCAGTGGCTCAGGAGGCTGAGGCAGGAGGATTGCAAGTTCAAAACCAGCCTCAGCAATTTAGGGAGGCCCTAAGCAACTCAGTAAGACTCTGTCTCTAAATAAAAGACAAAATATGGCTGGGGATGTGGCTCAGAGGTCGAGGGACATAACAATACAACAGAGCCCACAGGTCCCATTTGGGTTTTAGAGATGACAGAAATCAGCACCTGAGCAAACGGTGGACATCCATCTTCATGTAGCTCATGACCTGAGAAACCCAGGCTGCGCCAGACCAGCCAAGGTCTCATCCCCATCAGGAAAGTTTCTTGGCCTGCTGCTTGTGGGTGATTTCCTGTCTCCACTGGTATTTTTTTTTTTAATTTATTTAATCTCACTTTGGACTCTCCTGAGAGAATTGCAGTCTTTATTGGGCATACCACAGTATTTTTCCCCAGGCATATTAAATGAGACCAAGAGATCCTGAAATCCTTCCTATGAAGAGGTCAGACACCAGATCCTTTCTCGTCTGAGCTCTGTCCTCCGTTCTGTGGGTTTGCATGTGATGAATGAGGAGGTGAGTTGTTTGGAAGCTGACCGTGCCTTTGGAGGGAAAGGCAGGAAATCCTTTCTTGTCTTTCTTGCAGATTGGACAGAAGATCATTCATCCCTCGTGCCTCCTGTTATTCCAAACCACCCCCCAAGCAATCCGGAGCCAACCAGGGAAGCTCCACTTCAGGGTAAAATGTTTTTTACAATTGCATCTTGGTTTCTACTCACAAAATCTCATTTATAAAAGTCACTTTAAAAAGGGGGAATCTTGGCCAGGCGGTGACGCATGCCTAGAATCCCAGCAACTCGGGAGGCTGAGGCAGGAGGATCTCGAGTTCAAAGCCAGCCTCAGCAATGGTGAGGTGCGAAGCAACTCAGAGAGACCCTGTCTCTACATAAAATAGAAAATAAGGCTGGGGATGTGGCTCAAGTGGTACAGTGCCTCTGAGTTCAATCTCCGGTATCGCCCCCCCCCACCCCCAAAAAGTGGGCTTTTGTAACCTCCAAGTCTTTCCTTTGATTCAACAAACCATAAATAGTGAAAGCAAATCTAAATGTATTGTTAATCAGACTCAAAAATTAGGAACTTTTCTAAGTAGAGTTCTTCAGCTACTTGTAATCCTCTAAAAATAATGATGCCTGTTCAATGACCATTGAAATCCGCTTTCTCAACCTCAGCACTGTTGACCGACCTTTGGGGTTCGATGATTCTTTGGATGAGGCCTTTCCTGTACCTTCTGAACGTTCAGCGGCATTCGGGTCCCCTGTCCATTAGACGTTAGGAGCTCACACCCCACCTCTTACCCTTCACCTTATGACAACCAAAAATGTCCCTAGACATTGCCAAATGCCCCCAGGGAACAAACCAACCTGGATTTGGAAATGGCTGATATACAAACTATTAATATTTAATACCATGTCCAATAGGAGAAATTCAAAGCTCAGACATAGATATTTTAAGATTCTAGTTAGCATATTTTGTTGTTGTTTTGGTACTGGGGATTGAACCCAGGGGCCCTTAACCACTGAGCCCCATCCCCAGCCTTTTTGGGTATTTTATTTAGACACAGAGTTGCTTTGTGCCTAAGTGGCTGAGGCTGGCTTTGAACTTGAGATCCTCCTGCCTCAGCCTCCTAAGCGGCTGGAAATATAGTCATGAGCCACCACGCTTAGAGCATATTTGTTTTTGACTTAAGTTTTTTTCTGTAAACATAAATCCTTTGGTATTATTATATTTTCTTATCCTGTTCTTGTTATCTTCGGGATGTGTTTTATGACCAGACACACACTTCTGCATGTTTTACATCATGTCTGCGGGTCTTTCTCACTTTGATTCACAAAAAGTATGCGTCCCCTAGAGAGGACCATTTTTGACAATTGGAAGCTCCCAAACCTAGCCACTTTGGGACCTCATTACTCTTCCATGCTAAGAAAGGTGTCTGGTGCTTTTTGTTATTGTTGTTGTTTAATTTCTTTCACAAATGAAAAACAGAGCAAATGCCATGTTTGATAGGGTTGGGGAATGTTTATGGTAAAGAACTATTAAAAATACTATAAAATATATCTTCACTTCTACACTTTTTTTTTAACAAGATATAATTGTTAGATATGAAAAGATAGGGAAAAAATCTTTTCTCTTATTTTGATCCGTCATTATAATTTTTTCAAGAAAGAAATGGTCTCTCTGCTCGCCACCTTGTCACGAGGGCAGGGTTAGTGTCACTGTGTGTTAAGTGCTGTGTTCTGGCCTGAGTGTGCTCCTTCATGGTGAGAATGGCTTTGACAAAGGCAGAACACGATCTGTAACCGTGGATCCATCCCAGTCAGCATGATAGTGACTTCCTCAGTCCTTTTTACATATGAGTTCCTTCTTTGAGTCTTGTCCCCTCACCTTGCTGTCTCCCAGAGTCTCCTCTAAGATCCTGAAGCCTGTCCCCACCTGGGGACTGCAGAGGGTCTGCATAGGCTGTTCCCTGTGCAGTTCCTTCCCTCCCAGTCTTTGTGTAACCCTGTGTGTTTTAGGTCTTTAACCAATTCCCCTCCGATATTCACTCCCAACAACCTCTACATCTCACTTTAAGAACTCAGCAGTTACCGTGTTCATTGATGGTACTGCGTTCTTTTTTCATATATTTTATATACGTATTCCCTAATTTCATTAGTGAGCAAAACTGATACCCTGAAGGTATACAAGTAGGGCACAGGTGATAACGAAGCAATAGAAGACTTTCAGCTGGACTTACACAGAATTAAGATGATAGTTGTTACATATCATCCTAACTTCTGGTGGTACAGTTGTTGTTTTTGTTTTTTAATTGTTTATATTTGGGGAGTGGGGTGGGTACCAGGGATGGAACTCAGGGGCACTCGACCACTGACCCCATCCCCAGCTCCATTTTATCTTTTATTTAGAAACAGGGTCTCACTGAGTTGCTTAGGGCCTCACTAAGTTGCTGAGGCTGGCTTCGAACTCACGATCCTCCCGCCTCGGCCTCCTGAGCTGCTGGGATCACAGGCGTGCGCCACTGCGTCCGGGTCCATGGCACTGTTTTTTTTTTTTAAATAGTAATTTCCCCTGTTAGATTTTAAATCCCATGGAGGCACAAACTATGTGGTATTTGTTTTTTTCCTTTATTGCAGGATAATCCCAAATTAGGTAGACTACTATGTTTTATCTGCTGCAATTATTATTGGGTGAAGCAGTGCACATATCCATTTATATATCCACACATACCTATGATAGTCAGCTACCAAAGAATTGTCTTCAAGATGAAAGTCTTAATGGGTCAGGTTTTGGGTGCTAAATGCTCAGAGCACCAACTAAGAACCCTGGTGATATTTTGCTGTGGTTGTTCTTGTCAGATATCCGTGGCAGGAGCGTGCATTCTGACCTCTTACACAGACATGGAGTCTAGCTTCCCAGTCTTGGGGCTGTCCATGCTGTGGAGTCGCACTGGTCCTGAGTTCATATATGAGCCTAGGAAAGCCATGACTGAGCCCCATCCCCAGCCCTTTTTACATTTTACTTAGAGACAGGGTCTTGCTGAGTTACTCAGGGCCTCACTAAACTGCTGAGGCTGGCTTTGAACTCACGATCCTCCTGCCTCAGCCTCCTGAACTGCTGGGATGACAGGTGTGCACCACCATGCCCGGCTGGTTAAGCAGCTTGATGTGCCCTCTAGCATCTTGTGTCTTGCGTTGTATCCAGTGTTCATGGAGCCAGCAGGAGGAAGCCCAGTTGCTAACTTGGTTAGCTGGTTGGTGTGAATTTTGTTGAGATCACTATTCACTAGCCTCTCCTTTCTTCGAGCCCCAACTTCCAATCCCAGCAAGCGATTCTTTGAGAGATGCGCTCACAGGCAAGCTCCTCTGCTTCAAGCTTGAAGAGAGGTTTTTCCCGGCGTCTGTCCACCCTACTCACTCCACCACCAGCAACATAGTCACTCATTTTTTGTGTCCCTATTATGTACCAGGCACATCCCTAAATATTTTATTATGGGTTTTCCTTATGACTCTCACCTGTGGTAGGTACCTCCATTTGCATATGCAAAGCTCAGGCAGAATGGTGTAGTAACTTGCCCAAGAACAATAGTTTTTCTTTCTAATATCTTTTTTATTTTTATTTATTTTTATGTGGTGCTGAGGATCGAACCCCTGGCCTCACGTGTGCTCAGCGAGTGCTCTACCACGGAGCCGCGACCCCAGCCCAGCTTTTGTTTTTTAATTCAATTGAATTCATCAAATTACAATTAAAAAATCGGGAGTTGGAACTTTTGAATTACAATCAAAAAATAAATTGAATTACAACAAAGCTGGTTTCCTCTGTCCCACTGGGCACATTTCAGGGGTGCGGTCACTGAGTGGACTACAGGCTGCCACATTGAATAATGAACATACAGAGTATTTTTATCACTGTAGGAAGTGCTGTTCCTGGGGAATTCAAACCCTGGAGCCAAGAACAGTTCAGGCCTGGCAGTAAGACAATCCCTAAGGGTTATTGTGGCGTAGAATTTTTTGGGCCAAAACCCAGAAGATCCTGACTCAGTGAGTCTGGGTTTAGAACTAAAGTCAGTACATCTTGATAAACCACCCGGGGTGAGTTCCAGACACAGCCAGGTCTTAAAACTGCTGATAAATCAACAGAAGTTCAAATCTCAGAAAATTGTACCTTGGAGCTTCAGCCGAGAGCTTCAAGTTCCACTGCTTTGGGAAAAAAAAAAAAGTAATTTCTTTCCAAAATCTGCATTAACTAATGACCCACCTGAACATAAAACCATAATAAAATGTGCATGAGTGTGAAAACCTTCTGATCTTCCCTCTCTAGGTGGGAACGGAAGTCAGTAGCGAACTCATGTCTTTATTAAGTTGAAACCATTATTAAGCACAAAATATGCTAATGATTGGCTTTTTAAAAATCTTGAGGGTGCGGTGGCTGAGGCAGGAGGATCATGAGTTCAAAGCCAGCCTCAGCAAAAGTGAGGCGCTAAGCCACTCAGGGAGACCCTGTCTCTGAATAAAATACAAAATAGGGCTGGGGATGGGGCTCAGTGGTCCTGCCTCAGCCTTCCAGATGGGTGGGTTTCGGGAGTGTGGCACTGTGTCTGGCTGAGCTCGCCTCTGTTTTCAGCCATGGTTGGTTAAACTCCCAATAAGCCCTGGGATGGCTCTAGAGAGAGAAGCAAGCAGAACTTGACTGGGGACCATTTAAAAGAGCCTTCCTTTTTCTTTTTCTTAAGAGCCAGAAACTTTTATAATGTGCAATTAAAAATTGTATGCATGCCCAGAGACCTTTTAAGTCCTTTTAGTTACCACGAACCCAAAATAACTCTCCTTCCTGGGTGCCAGGCTCCTCATGCCTTGGGGTGTGTGGGACTTTTTCTTGCTTTTTTCCTTTTAATACCAGGGATAGAACCCAGCCCTGTTTACTTTTTATTCTGAGCTAGGTCCTCCCTATGTTGCAGAGGCTGGTCTCAAACTGGCAATCCTCCTGCCTCAGCCTCTTAAATGGCTTGACCTTTGTTTTTTGGATAACATTTTTGACAGGAAAGAAACCAGGCGGATGAGGAAGCTGTGGCCAGGAGAAGTCATAGGAAATGAAATTAGGAGAGAGAAAAAAGTGCTCTCTGTAATCCCAGAGGATTACAGCACTGGTGCTGTTCGGTATAACAAGAGAAATTCCAGGGGTTTCTCAGAGAAATTTCTAATAAAGCCCCAAGGAAGACTTTTTCGATTTGTACTTAAAATGCTATTTGTGAATGTATCAGGAAAACTCAATGTAACCTTAGGGAGTATGCTTGGGAGTTATTTTTTTAAATATTTGATTTTTAGTTATAGGTGGACACACAGTATCTTTATTTCATTTTGACGTGGTGCTGAGGATGGAACCCAGTGCCTCCCTCCCACATGCTAGGTGAGCGCTCTACCACGGAGCCCCAGCCCCAGCCCCAGCCCTGCCTGGGAGCTATTTGTCCATTAATTTGTTTTAAGCAAGACAGCAGGGTTTGAAGCTCCTATGATCCTAGTGAGTAACTACTTTAGTTCAAGGGTTTTACTTTAGCTTATGGCTTTAAGTATCCTAAGCCAAATGACTGAAGCTTTTCTTAAATAGTAAGCCTTAGCGATGGACATATTTCGGCTATTTCACGAATTGTTAAAAGATGCGAATAAATAGCAAAAGTTAGTTGACTGTAAAATTTCATTCCAAGTAATGAGCTTTAATTTTCATGATAGTGATTCTATGTTTATGTCACATTTTGTGACCATGATTTTTTTTTTTTTTTGGGTGAGGAGAGGCATTCTTCTTATCTGCCCATCTGATTAAAAACTAAGGTTTTGCCCAGTTGGTCTTAAATGTAGAAGCCAAGCCCAACCCAGCACCTCAGAAGCCATGCTACAAGATAAAAAAATAAAAGAAATTGGGCGTGGTGGCGTGCGCCTGTAATCCCAGCAGCTCAGGAGACTGAGGCAGGAGGATTACCAGTTCAAAGCCAGCCTCAGCAATTTAGGGAGGCCCTCAGCAACTAAAACTCCTGTCTTTAAATAAGATATTTAAAAAAGGCTGTGGCTCAGTGGTTAAGCATCTCTGGGTTCAATCCCCAGCACCATCAATCGATCAATCAATCAATCAAAAGACACCAAACAAAGACTGACTGTTTTCTGTGGCAGTCAGAACTACAAGAACTGAAACTAAGGAAGGCTGTCACCTTGTGGGGACTGATCTTGTCCTCTTTTCTATCTTTCTCTGGGCCCTAAAGATGCCCCCCTCTGTGTACAATACCGACTTCCTACACAGGGCCTCAGAACATCTATCCCTGAAGTCAGGAGAGGACCTCATTTTAATTTGTGCATTTTAATCAGACCGAAGGGGACACACAGTGGCACAATCGTACATGCACACATTACATAATTTGGTCCATTTCTCCCCCTCATACCAAGCAGAGCACTTTCTCAGGACCCCTTTTGTGCCAAAGACCCCAGCCTGCGAGCTTGGAGAGCCCCCTCCCCCCGTGCCCTCTCTTCACTGACTGAGTCCACTTTCCGCTCACAGTGACTTTCCTTGTGCCTTTCTTGTTGGTACCAGGCAAACCCTTTTTTACACGAAACCCTTCTGAGTTGAAAGGCAAGTTCATCCACACGAAGCTGCGGAAAAGCAGTCGTGGCTTCGGCTTCACGGTAGTTGGAGGGGACGAACCCGACGAGTTCCTCCAGATCAAGAGCTTGGTCCTGGACGGTCCTGCCGCCCTGGATGGCAAGATGGAAACAGGTAAGGTCCCCAGGGCCCCTGCATGTACTGTGAAGTGAGACTCCACCACGTCTGAGCTGGCTGTCACCAAACGACTCGTGATTCATAAATGTCCTCTGCACACCTTGGGATGAGCTGGAGCCCTCCATTACCAAAATTCAACCCTTGGTGCAGATCAAAACCTCCGAAGCCATTTGAATTTGGGGGAGCTGTTAGGGTGCTATTGAATACAGTGATCCAGCAATTTACTAAAAATGTGGAGCCATTTGAAGAAATGGGTGCTAAACTTGGATCTCTCCACAATGAGAATTTCTATAGAGAAGAAAGCACCAGTGTTCTCTTAATGATGATAATCTTCTCATTAGCAAGGAAGGCAGTAGGTGCTACAAGAGAAGCAAAGAGTTGGCATTAAGGTGGCTCACGCCTGTCATCCCAGTGGCTCAGGAGGCTGAAGCAGGAGGATCCTGAGTTCAAAGCCAGCCTCAGCAAAAGCGAGGCCCTAAGCAACTTGGTGAGACCCTATCTCTAATTAAAATAATTTTAAAAGGGCTGGGGATGGGGCTCAGTGGTTAAGTGCCCCTGGGTTCAATCCTGGTACAAAAAAAAAAAAAAGATAGAAGCTTTCTTTTTATGCCTCATGGTATTAGTCCCAAGCCCAAGTCCAGGTTCAGCGTTGTGTTCAGTGGGGGTGTGAAGGAGGCAGAATTTTGCATCTGCTCTCTACGAGCTTTTGACTGGGCCTGAGAATATTATAAGACAGGTGAAGAGATAAAAACGTACAGGCTCATTGAATATGAGTCTTATGTGCCCGGGGACCACGTTACGGAAGTGCAAACCAAAAGATGCGGTGAGAACCGAGCACCTAGGGAGTTGCACCTAGAGTACCAGGTGGTGACAATGGGCCAAGACCAATGGGCCAAGACACTGTGGGTCACTGGGTGCAGAAGTGAATGGGAAGGTAAGGTTGGCTTCACAGGGTTGGTGCGTCCAGATTCCTCTGGTTTGATTTCCTATTCGTGATAGGAATGTTAATGAAGTGAGAATGTCACTTCTAAGAAGGACAGCTTCCATGTGAAATTTCACCTCCTTTGCATATCTAATTTTGGGGAGGGACTGGGGGGTACCAGGGATTGAACTCAGGGGCACTCTACCACTGAGCCCCCTCCCCAGCCCTATTTTGTATTTTATTTAGAGACAGGGTCTCCCTGAGTTGCTTAGGGCCTCGCTAACTAAGGCTGGCTTTGAACTCACCATCCTCCTGCCTCAGCCTCCTGAGCCCCTGGGATGACGGGCGGGCGCCATTGCGCCTGCCTAATTTTTTAAAGTGTCTTTTTGCTCAAAATAATCCCTGCCCCAAAGGGGCATGATGTGGGGTGGTGGGTTCTGGACATGGGTGGGATGGTTTCATATCTACCTGTTCTTGACACCTCCCCCCAAACTCTTACCTTTTCCAGGCGATGTCATTGTCAGTGTGAACGACACCTGCGTCCTGGGACACACGCACGCGCAAGTTGTGAAAATCTTCCAGTCTATCCCCATTGGTGCCAGCGTGGACCTTGAACTCTGCCGAGGTTACCCATTGCCTTTTGACCCAGATGACCCCAACACCAGTTTAGTGACCTCGGTGGCTATTTTGGACAAAGAGCCCATTATCGTGAACGGACAGGAGACCTACGATTCCCCAGCGAGCCACAGCAGTAAAACAGGCAAAGCCAGCAGCATGAGGGACGCCAGGCCCAGCAGCCCCGCGGATGTGGCCTCCACCGGCTCCCACGGGTACCCCAACGACACCGTGTCCTTGGCCTCGTCCATCGCCACGCAGCCGGAGCTCATCACCGTGCACATAGTCAAGGGGCCCATGGGCTTCGGGTTCACTATCGCCGACAGCCCGGGGGGTGGGGGCCAGAGAGTGAAGCAGATCGTGGACAGTCTGAGGTGCCGGGGCTTGAAAGAAGGGGACCTCATCGTGGAGGTCAATAAGAAGAACGTGCAGGCCTTGAGTCACAACCAGGTGGTGGATATGCTCATCGAGTGTCCCAAGGGAAGCGAGGTCACCCTGTTGGTGCAGCGAGGAGGTATGTAAGTTTGCTCTGTGACTCTGAGATGCATGGCTTAGTGTCCTTACTGGTCTCCAGGTGACTGGTCGGGTTCTTTTAAGTGGTCATTGAAGATTTCTTTTCTTTCTTTCTTTTTTATTTTTTCTTTTGGCGACACTGGGGTTGGAACCCAGGACCTTGTGCATGCTAAGCAAGTGCTCTACCGCTGAGCTACCTCCCCAGCCCAGCTCATGGTCATTATTATTTAAACCTTTGATTGCTTCCCATTAAGCTTATGGCTTAGACATCTTGTGGTGCAGTCGGAGTGCTACTTGAAAACATGAATCAGAATGTGTCCTTTAAGAACCACTAGGAGTTTGAAACCTTTGAACTGCTTGCTGGACAGGCTTCAAAATGTGGGTCCCGGACACGCCTCTGACCTCCTTTCACATTCCTTCTTGTCACTTTGCTTCAGCCATATTTGACTTCCTTCTGAAGTGACCTTCATGGGTTAGGCTCTTTTCTACCTCAGGGCCTTTACACATCCTGTTCTCTCTGCCCGGGATGTCCTTTCCCAGCCCTTTGCTCATTTGCATTCCTGAGAAAAGGCTTCTTGAATCACTTTATCTAAATTTGCTCCTTGATGCTTCCAGAACTCAGTTCCTAGAACCTTGACAATCCATGTTATTATTGCAAGGCATTATTTTATATATATATATATATATATTTTTTTTTTCCTTTGTCTTTCTTTTCACTAGAACATAAGGTCCATGCAGCCAGGACCCATGCATACATGCTGATACATGTTATCCCTAGTTTAATACCCTTTTAGGTATTCATTGATGAGTGAATGAAGATGTGCTCATTTGCAAGTGGTAGAACAGCCCTGGCCAAGGATATTCAAAATGTGCCTCAACCTACTCCCGTGTAGATGGTTGCAGATCTAGAGAGCTGGGATATTTTAAATCTTGAGACATGAGAATTGGTCCTGTGTCTCCCTGTCTGGGCGTCCCACCCCCTCCCCACCAGCACTCCTGGGACCTCACCCTGAGAAATAGTCTGCAGAACTTTGAAAGGTCTTGCTTCTGGGGTGGAGGTCATTGAGTGGTCATACCTGATCTTTGCCCGCAGAGGGGTCCACGGTCAGTGGCTCCTGATCTTTGCCAACCTGATTCATTTCCTGCACGGTGTACTCAGGTCCTCTGGAAAGAGATCAAAATCCAGGTTTTATTTACTGTTGGTTCCATCCTCTGAGGAAGCTGCGTATTTTGTGACAAAAATGATTGGGGTCATTGGAAGGAAATTGAAAACACAGAGTGACTGTCGATGTGAATCAAAATGCTCAATCGGCCCTTCTTGAGCAGATAGAAAAACCATTGTGCAGATTTTATTAAGAAAAAAAATGTTCCCATCCAATTCCGAAGACTCTTCTCATATCTAGACCACTTGATTCTCGGGTAATTGGTTCTTAAACCGTGACCACGACGTTGCAGGAAATAACTAGAGCGTAAGGATGATTTGGGTAATGACGGTCTGGGATGATGCGTGGCTCTTGTGGACCAGTCAGTGATTGACAGAGGGCTTTCCCGCTTCCCTACGCCTCAGAACTGATCTTGGTCACTTCCCTGGGACTTGGGAAGGTGCAAGCCCACGGTGGGAGAAGTAGTCCCCCCTCTTCCTGTGGGTCGCAGCCTCGTGTTGTGCTTCCTTGGCTCTGAATAACACTGACTCTGTACACTTATCCCTTTCTGTGTCCAACAACCTGGAAACTCTTTTTTTAAATTTTTTTTCTGGTATCACAGATTGAACCCAGGGGTGCTTAACCACTGAGCCCCATCCCCAGCCCTTTCCATCTTTTATTTAGAGACAGGGTCTCACTGAGTTGCTTAGGGCTTTGCCAAGTTGCTGAGGCTGGCTTTGAACTCATGATCCTCCTGCCTCAGCCTCCTGAGCTGCTGTGATGACAGGCATGTGCCACCGAGCCTGGCTAAAAACTCTGAAATGGTTCTCAGCAGAGCCTGCACGTCTGATCCAGCTAGCACTGGACAGTGACGAACCACCCTCCTCTCCTATCTAACAGTTACTGGAACTTGACCGCAGTGAATTTGTCTAAAGCAGCAAACGACCCATAAAAGAAACAGGCTCCTTGATCACAAAGACTTCTGGGTTCTCTCTTCTTCATTCCTGGGTCCTTCTTTCTGATGGTGCTGTTACGTCTTATAACCTTCATATGGAAAGGTCCAGAAGATATGGCCTCATTAGTCAAGGGCTACATGGTTTGTTCCAGAACCCAAGCAATTGAAAATCACTGTAACATCAGCAGTCTTTAAAATATGCCATGTGCCTTCTGTTTGATTTATGGATGGGACAGAAAGTTTGCACATCTGCGGTTGGCAGGCTCCTGCTAGCTACTATTAATCTTTGCAGAAAGCATATAAATATGTTTGTTTCTGCCACGCATTAGTTATTTGAATCAGGGCTGACGTTTAATCATCCCTCCTGTATGGTGTGTGGGGGGAGAGGGGTGTAATGAGAAGATTTGATGAAAGAACGAGACAGGGGCTTGGTTAAATGAGAAAGTGAGTGGCCATCGCACCGGAGCCTCTAATGAATCTCGTTCCTGTTGTAAGTGCTGGTGAGCAGATTGATATGCTCATTAAGTCCGCACCATTCATGAATCTCAGAGATTCGGATTGCAATTGCCAGTCTTCCGATGCTTTATAAAATGAATCTTTTCTACTCTGGGGCCGTGTTTGCAGCATCTATTTTAATTCTTAATCCTTGACCTCACTCTCGAGATTTCTTTGTTATCATTTGCCAGTTGAGATGGTGCACGCCTGTAATCCCAGTGACTCAGGAGGCTGAGGCAGGAGGATCGTGAGTTCAAAGCCAGCCTCAGCAATGGTGAGACCCTAAGCAACTCAGTGAGACCCTGTCTAAATAAAATACAAAAAAGGGCTGCGGATGTGGCTACCAAAAAAAAAAAAAAAAAAAAAGATCTGGTATATTTCACTTTCTAGCGCTTTTAGTCTGCTTCCCTTAGTGTGGAAACCAGGCAGAGGCTGAAACATCTGTCTGGGGTCAGTTTCCTGGGCCATATCTGGGAGTGGGGGCTGGGGTTGTTCACCCACACGCCCAGGTAGCAGGGACCATCATGGGTGTGTTCACACGGCCTTCCATGAGCACCTCCCTGCCCTGGGCCAGCACAAAGGGCAGCCCTTCCCGCTGTGCCTGGCCCAGTGTCTTCTCCCTGTACCGAACAATCAGGAGACTTTCTTTTTCTTTCTTTCTCTCTTTATTTTTGAACCAGAGATTGAAGGGGTGCTTAAACACTGAGCCCCATCCCCAGCCCTTTTTTATATTTTATTCAGAGACAGGGTCTCACTGAGTTGCTTAGAGCCTCACTAAGTTGCTGAGGCTGGCTTTAAACTCGTGATCCTCCTGCCTCAGCCTCCCGAGCTGCTGGAATAACAAGCATTCACCCTTGTATCTGGCTTTTGTGTGTGTGTGTGTGTGTGTGTGCGCGCGCGCGCGCGCTGGGGATTGAACCCAGGGCCCTGTGCACACAAGGCAAGCACTCCACCAACTGAGCTGTATCCTGAGCCCATATCTGGCTTATTTCTATTTTTTTAAACATATCATTTGTTTTCAGAAATCCTGTTCCCTGACACCAGGAGTCTAGAGGCTTCTTGGAGGTGTTTGGAAACCCTGTCTATGATCACTTAATAGTGCTTTTTAGTTAAACTTAATTTACAAAAGACATGAGACCTATCCCATAAATGCTCTTCTCTGTTTTCTAAGAGGTTCTATTCCAGGTCGTCAGCATAGGTACCTTTGCCCCTTGGTGTAAAACTCGGGGCAGATTCAGCTAGACCTGTTAGTAGCTGTGACTCTCCTTGAGGAGCAGTTTGGGGTTGAGTCAGAATACTTCTAGAGGATTTGGGGGGCTGTGGTTGGAGCTCAGTGGTAGGGCACCTGCCTAGCACACGTGAGGCACTGGGTTCGATCCTCGGCACCACATAAAAGTGAATAAAATGAAGGTATTGTGCCCAACTACAACTAAAAACAGTATATTTTTAATAAAGAGAAGATTTGGGGGATACTTTGTGAAAGTGGAGAAAATATGCTTTGCTTTTTGGAGAAAGTTTATCTCAAAAACATATCTAAACTGGTGTGTCGGGAACCCCCCATAAATCGCACTCTGCCTTAATCTGCTCAAGGAATTTGGCAGGTTACTTAAGCAGGTTACTCTTCACCCCCTGACATTCCTTTCTTTATTCAAAAAATGGATCTTTTATCCTAGAGAAACTCTCAGGATGCCCCTGTTGGCTCTTATGTTATGCCAATTATGATTTTATTGTTGTCTAGAGGAAAGACCACAAGATTCTGGTGCCAAAGAATGTAAGTTTGAATCATAATCCCTTCCTTTTCTTGCAGTGTGATTTTAGGCAAGTCACTTAACTTCTCTGAGCTCAGTTCACCATCAGGAAGAACATGAATAATAATGCATGCCTTGCCTGTGTGTGATGTAGATTAAAAGAGGTAGCATGTGTGCCAGTTCCTGACATAGAGGTGTTGGTATCGCATGGTCAGTCGATGGTGTATTATGAATATTGCCTAATAGCAGAAGCAGTTGGGAACTAGTAACTTGCTATTTTAGAAAGACAAGCATAGTCCTGAACTATAGAATGACAATGTATGGTGTTGTGGCGTCCATATTTTGTTTTAGAATCTCCTCTGTTCATTCTGATGTACATCCAGGGCTGCAAATCATGCTAGGGTCCTGCCCTCATGGTTCTGTCTAGTTTGGATCTATTACATGTACCTTGAGGGAAAGCTGGAAAAGTCAGGAGGCTGAGGCAGGAGGATTGCGAGTTCAAAGCCAGCCTCAGCAACTTAGTGAGGCCCTAAGCAACTGAGTGAGACCCTGTCTCTAAATAAAATACAAAATAGGGCTGGGGATATGAGTCTGTGGTCGAGTGCCCCTGGGTTCAATCTCTGGAACCCACCTCCTCCCCCTCAAATAATAAAAAAGAAAG